GGAGGAAGACACAGACTACCAAGTTATCTCAGTGTTTGTGGGCTAGTGGTCACATTTCAAATCTCTGTAAAAAGAACTAGCATCTGTTCTGCATTTTAAAGGGAAACTATAGTCAGCCATCTGAAATGTACTGCATACCACACTCACCTACCAACCCAGGTACTTCAGAACCAGGGCTGGCCAAGCCTTCCTTCCAGATATGTAAAATAAATAATGTTCCAGGCACTCCAGGATAGCAAAAAATAGCAGCTTTATTGGGGCAAAAGCAGCAACGTTTTGACTCTGCCAAGTCTTTATCAAGCTTGATAAAAGAGCCGGTAGGGTCAAAACGTTGCTGCTTTTACCCCAATAAAACTATTTTTTGCTATCCTTAAGTGCCTGGACCATGATTTATTTTGCACTATAGTCAACCAGACCCCTTTATCGCAATGAAGTAGTATGGATACAGTGTCATTGTCCACTTAACCCTGCAATGTAAAACATTACTGTTTGGGAGAAACTGCACTGTATACATTGTAGGGTTGAGTTCTCTCGTGGCTGTCAGCATGACAGCCGCTAAAGGCGCTTCTGTTGCAATGACTGAGTAGATGTCGGTCACATGACAGAATCCCAATAGAAAAGCATTGATAAAATGCTTTCCTGTGGAGAGGTTTGAATGTGCACGCTGCGTGTCGCGCATGTACATCATGTCCCCAATGGTCCTAAATGAGGTGCATTAGATTGGACCATCACGGAGGAGGCCATGTCTCCTCCATGACATCATGGGAGAAAGAAGTGAGCAGCGCAGAGTGAGCCTGGGTCCTGGAAAAAGGAGAGCAAAACTAACTTTTTTTCTAACTTTTATACCAAATAGGGTAGGACCTAGTCAGAGCTAGGCAGAGGGACACTATAGCGTTAGGAATGCAGGTTTATATTCCTAATACCATAGTGCTCCATTAACCCTAGCAGTGTTGCTTTACACATATTCAAAACACTTGATTCAACATTGGGCAAGCTACATCTTGAAGAGGGTACAACTAAAAACTGATAGCATAATATCTAGGAATACCCATAAAGAAGAAAAAAAAAATTTTTTTTTTAGTGTGGTCTCTTTGCATTGCTTCAATTATCAATAGTTGCATTGCCTTAATTATCTATTTCAGACATTTAAAAAAAAAAATAAATAAATTCTGGTTGAAGTGCCCATTTAAGTAACTTCATGTGGACAGACGTGTGAAAGTTAAATTAAAAAAATATAAATGTGAAACTCCACAATAGGCAGCTTGCAACCCTCCAGCTACTTATGAACTACCCCCTGAACATTTCAGAGTGCTTTAGGTTTGCTAAACTTTGAGTTCGTCATTGTGACAATCATCTGTTGTTGTTTGATTACCAAAATCCACTCACTTTCAGTGTGTTTACACACTGCTGTTCTTGAGCCAACATTAAAACGGACAGCTAAGGTGTGTAGTGTGTATAGTCATTACTAACTGGCCTCCATACTGAAGCTGCCAAGTAGGACGTAAGAAATTAGAGTAAGTCCTTTCAGCTAGGTTAGAATCACTGCCATTTCTCCTATATTCTTTGCATTACAAGGAACAGTCTGAGCACTTGGATATAATGTATAATGCAAAACATGAACTGTTAAATGGTGTTTTGTATGCAATGAAAACCAGAATTGAATTTGTTTCATAACGAAGAATGATGTACAGGCATTGGGGAGGAAGCAATGACTACATAAATCATGCTGGGCCATTTTAATTTCCCATTATTTAAATAATCCAGATAAAACCTGAATGTTGCAGCATATCAAGGGTTTATTTAAATTTTAGTCCACCTTAGAGATGAATATTACATAGGTATTATGAACCGCTACTCCTAATGTTTTTAGATTGAATGTGTCACATTTGTAAGATTCTTAGCACTCCATGGGAGAATGTGACCGTGTTTGAAAGATATTCATAATCTGCTCAGGGTTTTAAATTTAATAAAAGCCCTTCAAATCATATTTTCCTCCAACAGAGATTTGATTGGAAACATAACGTTACCTTCTATTTACCTTTTGAAGTTAAAACGATAATAGTGCTGAAGCATCCGTGTTTCCCATTATATTGAGTTAAATATTGCCCTAACATTCAAATAAAAATTAAAGTGCACATTTTTTAAAAGAATACATTTTGATCTATGTGTTGTGATGGCCAAATTGTGAGCAAAGGTATAGTTCAATGGCTTTTTCGATATGTATCCAACTGGTTTTGATTATATCTTCATGCTCATGGTACCGTATCAATGGATTCTCCTGTAGTAGCCTGAAATTACAACTACTTAGCCGAAGGCCACAGATAAAAAATAATTTATTAAGTAAAAGAGGCAATCCAAGTTTCAGCAGAATCTGTATATATTTACAGGGGTGGCCAAATATGTTGAAACTTTGGGTGTTATGTACAAAAATGTTCAGAGTTGTGAAACATGGTCTACAGTACAAAAAGTGTCGGAGTAACCATGAAGATCAGAGAAATTAACATCTCTTTATCCAAATTAAATGTATCTAGAACGTAACATTTGGAAGAATGTTAGCACTGTACATTTTCCAGTTGTACATGTTAAGACCCAATGTACTCATATAAGCAAATCTCAACCTACCAATAAAAGTGCAACACTTCTACAAACTTGTAGAGTGACAAAACATTGGAGCATAAAATCTCCCAAGTCAGTCCTCAAAGGTACCAGTAGGATCGGGTTTATTAAAGGGACACTATAGTCACCAGAGAAACTACAGCTTAAAGGGACACTATAGTCACCAGAACAACTACAGCGTATTGAATTTATTCTGGTGAGTAGAATCATTACCTTCAGGCTTTTTGCTGTAAACACGGTCTTTTCAGAGAAAATGCAGTGTTTACATTACAGCCTAGTGATAACTTCACTGGCCACTCCTCAGATGGCTGTTCCTTCCTGGGTCATGGCTGCCTAAAATGCATCCAAACATTCAGTATCTCCTCTCTCTACACGCAGACACTGAACTTTCCTCATAGAGATTCATTGATTGAATTCATCTCTATGAGGAGATGCTGATTGGCCAGGGCTGTGTTTGAATCATGCTGGCTCTGCCCCTGATCTGCCTCCTTGTCAGTCTCAGCCAATCCTATGGGGAAGCATTGTGATTGGATCAGGCCACTTCTGAGGATGTCAGAAGAAGTTCACAGGCAGAGGCAGCAGCTTCAGACTTGAATACAAGTAAGATTTCACTATTTTTAGGGGGGGCAAAGGGGGCTAGATGGTGGTTTTAACACTATAGGGTCAGGAATACAGGTCTGCATTCCTTACCCTATAGTGCTCCTTTAATTAAGTTGTTCTGGTGAGTATAGTCAGTCCCTGAAGGCTTTTTGCAGTTAACACGGTCTTTTCAGAATAAAAGCAGTGTTCATATTACAGCCTAGGGATAACTCCAGTGGCCACTCCTCACTCGTTCAGCATGCAGACACTGAACGTTCCCCATAGAGATGCATTGATTTAATGCATCTCTATGACGAGATGCGGATTGGCCAGGTGATGTTTGCTCCACCCTCAACCCATCTCCTTGGCTGAGATCATCAGAATTTACAATCTCAGCCAATCCAAAGCTTTCATATGGAAAGTCATTGTGATTGGCTGACATCATCACAATCAGGGACAGAGCCAGCACCAAAAGACTGGGATAAAGGTAAGATTTTAATATATTTAGGTTTTTAACACTATAAGGTCAGAAAAACATGTGTTCCTGACCCTATAGTGTTCCTTTAATATTTCCAGTGAAATATAAATGCAATGTCTTTAAAATTCTAAATTGTTGTTGGCTGTTTTGGAAAGCATTGGATTAGTAACTCTGCTAATTTGCAACAAAGTTGCCATAATGGTGCAATCCTCAAATATCCAATTTCTGCAATAAATATTGTTGCTCGCAAAAGTATGACCATAAAACACTGCATTTTATATGGAAAGCATAATGAAAAATAGGCATTGCTGCTGCAAACTATGATTCCCAGATTTTCCAGTAAATTCATTATGAATAATAGATGGACCACAAAACCAGAACATTTTATTTTATACCCCAAGCTTTACAAAATAAAAAAAATAAAAAAATAACTGCCAACAAAGTTGAGGAATGCTTTTTCTTTTTAATGCTTAAGCAATGCATTTCAAAATATACATAGGCAATGGGCACTTACAAGGCTAAGAAATGCCCAAGAACAAATGGAAAAAAAGTGCTTAAACTATGAAGCCTGAGAATTTTAATATTTCCTGAGATGAACTGACTTTGAGCTATAATATGTTTCTAAGTTTGAATCCAGTAAATAAAAGCATTCCTGAAAATATATGGTTCATGATCATGAAAACCGTAAAAAAAAAAAAAAAAAAAGATATATATTCTATGTTTTGCATTTTCCATAATTCATTTCATCGCCTGACTGTTTTAATCTTCCTCTAGGTCTAATGACAGAACACAAAGCGAGAGAAAACAAACAAAAAATAAAATAAAATACAAAACATAAAAAAAGTCATTACACTTTGCATTTTGTTGTTTCGAATACAACAGAGGTGCAAGTTTAAACACAAACTATGCTACTAACTGAGGGTATAAAAAAAATGGAAGCTCCTATCAGAATGTTGACATGATAGAATACGGTCTACCTTTCTCAATGCACAAACCCTGTTTAATACAATTCTAAGTCTCCCACAGAAATGTTCTTGTCTTAATCTGCAGTACAAGCATATATATAAAACACTTAGAAAAAGAAATGTAGGAGAGGCCCTGATACCCAGGGTCAATCGACCGTTGGCATTGTCATGGTAATAACATTTCTAGAATACTGTATGGATAGAAATGCAATCTTTATACATATCTGCATTATCTACAAAATGCTGGCCACCCTACACGTGGGTATCATTAATACTTATTTGTTACAAGTCAATGGCTTTTGCAAATCCAAATTTGGAAGGAATGTCTTGGTTTGCTAAAATGAAACCAAAGGAATACTCTTTTAAGCCAGAAGACGAATAACGCCATTGTCTGAGCCAAGCAGAAGCAGCCGTTTGGTAGGCAGTACAGCCAGGTTTGTGAGTGTGCCTTTAAAATTCTCGGAGCTCAGTTTGGTAGTGCTATTAGGCAGTGCAGAGGAATCCAGAAGGGAATAGATACCAATCTTGTTTGCCACTGTGCCAGTCACAATTTCACTCCCATATAGGTCAAACACATGTATTGGGTCAGAGCTGGATTTGAAGTGATGTATAGGCTTTTGTTCCAGTTCTTTCCAGACAGTAAGTGAATGGTCAGATGAAGAACTCACAACTATGCTTCCTTCAGCCGCCTGCAGAAAAAAAGCCTTGAGTTAGTTATAAGTGTAGAGTTACAATTCCTTACTGGAATACATGAATGTCTTATCTGTACAAAGAGATGGGAAATCATCTCACAAAGTAGCCAATCTAGAACTTTAATCAAATTGCAGATTACTCAGAATGTACCCGTTATAGCTTCATAAGTGCCCATAAATCAATCACCTGGCTGCATATTCAACGTATTTAAAAGGCAGAGCTCCCCTCCCCCTACAAAAAGTGGTTTAGTTACTAGACCGCATTCATTGGGGGGAAATGAGAAAAGTCTGCAAGACTGAGTGATACTTGGCCTAGCTGGAAACTATTCTTTGCTTTCAACTATTTCAGCACTACATTTGCAATTTCACATTGTAATTTTTCACAATCCATGGTTTAATGAATAAATCCATAAGTGCTGTAAGAATATTTTACCTAAATATGTAATGTACACAAGAATACTATAGTCACCATAACCACTACAGCTTAATGTAGTGGTTCTGGGGTGTATAGTATGTCCCTACAGCCATAACACTGTAAACACACCTCTAGTGACAGTCACTCAGATAGATGGCCACTAGAGTTGATTTCTGGCATGCAATGTCTCCACACTTTTCAAAGAGGCACTGTTCTCCATAGGGACGTACGGATTCAATGCATCGCTAGGAGGAGATACTGACTGGTGGAGCGTGGCTTTGTGCCATGTATGCTCAATAGCCTCCCAATTCTTTCCTAATCAAAAGCAGTGGTTGGCTGAGATCACCAAAATTGATGATCTCAGCCACAGAGATGTAACCAAGTGGGGTCCAGCATTGTGTGGGAGAAAAGGTTCGTAAAATCACCTTTATTCTCCGGAGAGAGGGGGACCGGGGACCTAATTCTGCATTCCAGCACTGTGCATTCCTGACACTAAAGTGTTCTTTTAACTTTGTATTGTTACTCATCGAAATCCCAAGGGGAAAACAGCTTTGAAGAAAATCTTCAGCTCACTTATACTTTCAGCTTGGCTATTTAACCTAGATTTTGACATTTTAAATTCACTACAAATCTGATTTTAGTTAATCCTGTAAGATTGTTATTTTTATTTTATATTAAATACCTATTCCAATTGTATGTACTTCAGATTGAAACACAAATCAGCTTCTTACAGGGACAAACATGTCTTTATGGGCAAAAAAAGTAATTTTACCTTGACTTGGGTTAAGCAAACTGTTACAGCGAGCACGAGGGCAGGTAAATATAAAGAAGAGTTACTGATTACTACGACTCACAAAAATACACTACATTTAGATTTTTTTGTAAAACGCTTCAAGTAGTAATTAACAAAACTAGTCTGTGACTAGTGTGTTCATTTATTTTGTCACAACCAAAACAACTGAATGCAGGGTTGTAAAAATGAACACATATTGCATTGTTTAATTGTGAATTACTGCAGCTATTTTTCTGGTAAAGTTTTGAGATGGGACATCCTACAATGCCAATAAAAGGGTAATTGCAAGAAGGGGCTCAGTGATCTCCTACAAAGCCCCAGGTCTAATTTTGGAGCCATTTCATTACAGCCCCAAGTACCCAGTAATAATGAGAGAGAGAAAATAACACCTCCAATTATTTCATTAGCAACAGTGACACTTTAATGTGCCATATTGAAAGTTAATTATATGGTACAATGTGAGTGCAGGATTTGAATACAGAGTGGTAGAAAGGGTTATCACAGCAGTGCTTTTGGTTGTTACATTTACAAATATAGGTTTAGATAATAGTATGAATTTATAGAACACATTAGTTATGGAGGTCGCTCAAAATACATATCAATGGGCTGATGCCCATGGTCTTTTTGCCACCTAGCATTGCCCCAAGATAAAAACAATAAGGGGGCAGGGCCTGACAGCCAAGATGGCCGGACATGTTTCATCTCAGCTCCTGTCCAACCAAGCTAAATATAAGCTATTAATGCCCAATATTGCAGCCTTATGTGAGCAGCAAATGGACACTGTACAAAGGGGCACCTTGAGCACACCCGATTTTAAAGGTTCAGGTGTGCACACGCTATGTCCGAACATACGACCTTCCAAGCCAGATGGCCCAGTGGGGGATGCGGCTTGTCTCCCAACGCTGGACGTGAATCAAATGTGAAGCCCTGCAACGCCTCCCCCCCACCCCTCCCCCCGGAGCGGCGGGGGGTATCCCAGTCCCCACTGGGGAAATTAATCTCCCTGCACCAGCAGAGTCTCCCATCAACCTGGACACGCAGACACCGCGTGGCAAGTCTAAGATGGCCGCCGTGCCGCAGACTACACTGTGTCCTGAAGGTCAGGAGAGCCAGAGCTGACAGGCATGCTTCGACGCTCGCTTTGATAAGCTATGCCAGGCGTTTTGGGTGCAAATTCAGAGCCAAACTCGCATCCCTGCAGCACCTGCTCCGCCAGAGGACCAGGCAGCTGAGCAAGACAACCGTCCCGGCAAAGGTCTGGGGGCATGATTGCCCAGCCGCCAACAAGCCAGCTGGACTTCCTGACACCTGGAGAACTCACGAGCCAGTGGAGACGAAGGTCACCTGGAGACACAGACGCTCTTCCAGCTCTGGGCTCAGAGGAGCAGAGAGCTCTGCGACAGCAAGTATGACACCCAGCTACTACATACTGGAAAGAGAGCTGACATTATCCCTTGCCAATCCAGGTACAGTCTTGTGTGGAGGGTCTGTGGTTTCGGGTAAATGCTGGACAGATGGGACTCTGTCTGATCGAAACAACCATCCTGCTAATGGGAATCTTGCATGATTCTGATTAACCCCGCTACTGAGATGGGTTCCCAGCAGTACCCAAGCCTATCTGTTCATAGACGCATGTTATAAATTATTTTGAGACCCCAGCCTGATTAGCACTATTATTTAGTCTCTATCCACATGTTTAACCAGATATGGCACAATGTAAGCTTAGCTGTTGTCCTATCTTTAGACATGTTAGTTTAGCCTGTTAATCTTTGAGGCATCCTCTAGAGTTTTCTGCTCACACATACATTTTTTGTTAATGACACCCAGAGGTTCTCTAGCATGCTAAATATTATTATTGAGCAAGCGACATAACTATGTTAACCATTTACTCGTCTGGAAAGTTTATAATATTGTTGGCATGTACACTTACCTCTATCCAGACCGTTTACAAAGCCTGTATCTATGTTACGTTTTATTTTTATTTATTTTTTTTAAAGTGCAGCACATATTGATCAACTATGGATATCTCTGCTGAAATATTTTATGCCACCTGCCGTATAATATTATTGAATATGTACTCACCAAGGCGCTCCAAAAAATAAAATAAAATAATGTTTAACAGGGGCACTACATTCACCAAGACCACTTTATCTAAATTACCATATTTTTCTAAGTATTTGGCTTAATAATAAGATTTTTTAAGGAGCTCCAGCCACATGCGACTAGCTTGGTTTGGTTGGCTTTCAGGCCCCGCATACAAGTGTTTTTTATATATATATATTTTTTTTTTTTTTTAAAACCCCTGCAGTGACATTCCATGTATGAGATGACCCCAAATTTTAGACAAAGAAAATTATTTAAAAAAACAAAAACAAAAAATAAAAAACAGTCTTATACCTTGAAAAATATGGTAAGTGGCCTGGGTGCAGTGTCCCTGTCCTTTTAATACTGTAATGTAAAACACTGCAATTTTTTATTTATTTATTTATTTATTTTTTAAACTGCAATAATTACATTGCAGGGTTAAGTCCACCATTAGTGGCTATCAGTATGCACTCGGTCCCGTGACATGGAAGCCCCCATAGGAAAAATAAGGATTCAATTCATTGGATTAGACACTAGCGGAGGCACACATGTCTCCTCTGTGACCTTGCAAAAATGTAAGAAGTAAGCTCCCTCTGCACTTGAAAAAGGCAAGTTAAAATTTTATTTTCCTGGCTAATCATGGCAGCATCACTTATGGGTAGCTCCTCCCTTAGCAGTCACAGGACAGGAATTAGATTAATTAATCAGACTGATAGGTATAAGGAGTCCCTCCTCCCCCTACACCTCAGTCTTTTTTCCTGTCCTTAGCAAGTTCTACAGGACTTTTTACATTTTATTTTATGGCCACCTTCCTGCGTTTGTCGTGGGTTCGTTCCAAATGAAGTTCAGCCTCTCTTCATTTGAAGGACCCAGTAAACAGCCTGCATGAGCAGGACTAACTGGGCCAGGTTCAGTGTAAGTACTGAACTGCAGCGTGGGAAGTAAGTGTTTGAAGGAGACACTAATTTTCTGTTTTATGTGGGGTTGGTCAGCCTTAAAAATTCCCCCTGTTTCAGCCTGCCCCTACTAATTGGGGTTAGTTACCCCCCACCTACCTTGTTGGCAGTAGTGGAGTCCATCTTTAAGGGTCTTGTCCTTTGGGATCTTTTCATGCCTCCTTGTTGGTGACTTATTGCTGCCTGTGGAACTCCCTTACTGGAGCTGGTGTGATAGCTCACTAAGGAGATAGCAGTATTTACACTACTGGCTCTATTTGAACGCCTCTGTGGTGATGTTAGGGGCTATGCAGGCTTCCCTGCTCTCTGAAGCCCCCTCTGTGCCCGGGCATCGGGCGCTGGAACGCATTTGCGTTCCAGCCGACGGTCTGTCTCATGCGACCGCTTCCGGCGAAACCGGAAGTGATTTGCCGGTCGCGAGCGTTTGGAACGCATAGCGTGCGTTCCAACGCTCTGCGCATGCGCGAACCGGGCGAACAGCTGTTCGCTGCCCGGTTCTATTTAAAGGGCTTGTTTCAGCTTCCTGGTCCCTGTGTCTGCTGCCCTTATGTTGGGTTTTGCCCTGGGAAGCATTGGTGTCCAGTTTGTGCCCTTCTTCTCCTGTCTGCTGCCTGGCTGCATTGTGCTCTGCTCCTTAAGGTAGGATTGCTGATTTACTGTTTTTTGATAGAGTTGCTTGTCAGCTTGCCTCTTTATCCCTTTGGGGAATTTGGTCTTGAATTTTCCTTTGGTTCTTCTTTGTAGTATGGATTCTCCCTCTGCCTCTGCAAGATCCCTCTCTAGAAAACATAGGTGAGCCATTTATTAATATGTTGGGGGGGTTGTTAAAAGAGTGCCATACTGAGCCTGTAATATATGTCATATATGGCTTTATTCCAGCCCCAGCGTTCATTTGGATTCTCCAGCGAGAAAATCCCGGGAAAAGTCAAATAAGTGCATTTATTGTTCTTCACCCGCTCCGCATGGGAAGGAACCTTTGCAGGGAATGCTTGTTGGAAGTCGCTGATGCCCCCAGTAGGAGCTCTCCACAAAACGACCTTAAACTCTGGATTTCTCAGGCTATTGCTGAGGGCTTTAGGGCTACCACAGGTTCTAGTGGTCCAAGTAAGAGACGCAGAGCGGAACCTCAGTCTTCCAGCTCTGATGAGGACCCTGATGTCTGGGAGATATCGGATGAAGGTGAGGAGGAAGCTGAATATGCCTCCAGGTCTCTTGACTCCAGGTCTGTGGATAGACTTATTACCCTTCTCAGAGACACGCTTAGTCTCGCTGAAGAAAGATCTGAATTGAAGGAGGCTGACAGTTTTTTTGAGGACCTAAAGCCTAACAGACCTACTTTCCCGGTGCATAAGTCAATCAGGGAGGTGATCCTTCAGGAATGGAACAAGCCTGAAAAGAAGTCCACCTTAAAAAACAAGTTTGCGAGGGTTTACCCGTACTCTGCAGTGGATTGCTGCCTGTGGAACTCAGTTCCTAAAATTGACGCTGCAGTGATCCATATGGCTAAGAAAACTACACTGCCTATTGACTCCATGGCATATCTCAGGGAGCCTATGGAGAAGCGTATGGATGGAGACCTGATTAAGGCCTACTTGGCCCTAGGATCCGCCCTTCATCCGGCAGTGGCACTGACGACTCTTTCCAGAGCCTTGAAAGTGTGGCTCGCTAATCTGAAGGACGACATTGATCAGGGTGTCCGTAGGGAACATCTGTTGGAAAGCCTCAAGGACTTTAGTCTGGCCACGGAATTCTGTTCAGAGGCCTCCCTGGACATCACTCGCATGATTGCCAAAAGCATGGCCCTGTCTGTGGCTTCTAGAAGGGCCTTGTGGCTTCATTCGTGGGGTGCTGATTATGCTTCTAAGGCTTCCCTGTGTGCACTTCCGTTCCAGGGGGATCTCCTTTTTGGGAAAATTCTGGATGATGCTATTCAAAAAGCTGCTGATGGGAAAAAGGCATTTTTACCTCAAGCTGGCAGGAAGAGTTTTCCCTCCTCCTGGAAGACCAAGCGCTTCAAGGATCGGTCCTTTCGGGACAGCAGAAGCTATAAACCAGGAAGGGAGTTTTCCAGGAATTCTTCATGGAAATCCTATTCGCACTCATCTTCCAGTAAGGCTTCCAGAGGAAGGGGTGCTAGAACCCCAGGGAAGAACTTCTGAAGGTTCCCAGGCCCGTTCGGGGATGGTGGGAGGAAGACTGAAGTTCTTCTACCCCATATGGGCCAGCAATATTTCGGATCTTTGGGTCACTTCCATCGTAAAAGAAGGTTACAGAATAGAATTCTCATCTCACCCGAAAACCGCATTCTTCAGGAAATCAAAGGTTCCGGTAGGTATCAAACGAAGGGCCATGAGGTCCTGCATTTCGGTACTCCTGGAACAAAAAGTGGTGGAAGAAGTTCCAAAACGAGAATGGTTCCAGGGAATTTACTCCACGGTCTTCCTGGCCCCGAAACCACAGGGAAAATGGCGTCTCATCTTAAATTTGAAAGGCGTGAACTCCTTGCTCGATGTAAGGACGTTCAAAATGGAATCCTTGAGGACCATCTTGAAGTGTGTCAAGAAAGGATACTGGATGACCTCAATAGACTTAAGGGACGCCTACTATCATATCCCGATTCATCAAGATCATGTACGTTTTCTCAGGTTTTGGGCGCTAGGAAGGCACTTCCAGTTCCGGGGACTACCCTTTGGCCTCAGCCTGGCTCCAAGAACGTTCTCAAAAGTGCTGGTCACCTTGATAGCCTTTATAAGGGAAATGGGTATCGAGATTTTCCATTACTTGGACGACATTCTTATCTTGGGCCCATCTCAAGAAATTGTTGCTCAAAATACGTCAGTGGCAATGTCCATTCTTCAAGACCATGGTTGGCTCCTGAACGTGGGAAAGAGCTCCCTCGTTCCTGCACAAACGATTGTTTTCCTGGGTGCGGTAGTGAATACCCTATCTGCACATGTGTTCCTGTCGCCAGAAAGGGTCATGAAGATCAGGGACAAAGTAAGGAAGCTACAAGTTCTCGACGCTGCACCTGCAAGAGAAGTCATGAGCCTCCTGGGTTCCTTGACATCAACAATAGGCTTGGTGAAGTGGGCCCAGTGGAAGCTCCGCCCGGCCCAGAACTGCTTTCTTCTCCAGTTCAACAGAGTGGAAGCAGATTGGGAACAAATTATATCTCTCCCCCTTCCCGTAAGGAAGACCTTAAACTGGTGGAAGAGCGAGAGGAATTTGACAACGGGCTTCCCGTTGGAGGACCCCCCTTGGAAGGTTATTACAACAGATGCCAGTTCTTTTGGATGGGGTGCCCACTTCGGTTCTATATGGACTCAAGGGAAGTGGACCCGAGAAGAGAGTCGCCTACACTCAAACTTAAGGGAACTGAGAGCGGTTTACAAGGCCATTTTGAGATTCCTACCAAGGCTAAGGAATTCTTGGGTCCTAATAAAAACGGACAACCGAACAGTTGCCTCATATGTGAACAACCAAGGTGGCACAAGGAGCAGGTTGCTCCTGGAAGAGCTGACTCCCTTAATGGCTATAGCCATGACGTATCTTCAAGGCCTGAAGGCGATTTATCTCCCAGGTTCGGAGAACGTAACAGCAGACTTCCTCAGCAGAAAGGAAATTCTTCCGGGAGAATGGCATCTTCACCCGGCGATCTTTGCAGAAATTGCTCATCGGTGGGGCATGCCCCAGATCGACCTGATGGCATCGTCTCAGAATCACCAGGTAGAGAATTACTTCTCTCTCCATCCAGACTGTCAGGCACTGGGCCAGGATGCTCTCTCTTTCCCTTGGTCGTTCGATCTGGGGTATGCTTTCCCTCCCCTACCCATGATACCCAGGTTCCTGCGGAAGGTTTGGTCAGAAGGCAGGAAAGTCATTGCCGTAATTCCGATTTGGCCTCGGAGACCGTGGTTTCCCCTATTGGCCATGAAGAGTCAGGAACAACCTTGGCCTCTGCCAGCATTGGAGGATCTGCTAACGCAGGGCCCTGTATTCCATCCTCATCCGGAACGCCTCAAACTGGGGGTATGGGTCTTGAAAAGGAAAGACTCCAATCACTAGGTCTCTCGGAGGCAGTGATCAATACCCTTCTGAGCTCCAGGAAGGCTTCCACTTTTTCATGCTACCATAGGATCTGGGATGTGTTCCAAACTTGGGCTTCGTCTCATAATGTGGACTTTCTGCATCCTAGCAATACTGAAGTTTTGGAGTTTCTGAAAGAGGGCCTGGACAAGGGCCTTAGCCTCAGCACCTTGAAGGTTCAGTCTTCGGCACTTTCAGCTTTGTGCAACATCTCATGGGCTTCGGATCCTTTGATTTCCAGGTTCTTCAAAGCGGCCTTCAGGTTGAGGCCTCCTTCCAGATCTACTACCCCTCCTTGGGACCTTCCTATGGTGCTCAATTATCTCACTGAGGATCTGTTTGTTCCTCTTGAAAGTTTGGATGCTACTCTCCTGACGTATAAAACGTTGTTTTTGGTGGCAATTACTTCCGCAAGAAGGATTTCGGAAATTAAGGCATTTTCTACATCATCTTCTTGTTTACGATTCTACCAAGATAGGGTGTGTCTGAAACCAAAACCAGAGTTTCTTCCTAAGGTAGTTTCTCAGTTTCACCTCTCTCAAGAAGTGGTTCTTCCATCATTTTACCCCAACCCCTCTTCTCAGGAGGAGGTTAGATGGCAACGTTTGGATGTCATGAACTGCTTGTCTGCATATCTTAAACGCTCTGAGTCTTTCCGTAAAACGGACTAACTCTTCGTTTTGCCGTTGGGAGCAAGGAGAGGTGAGGCGGCTTCTTTATCTACGTTGAAACGTTGGATTTCTCTGATAATTAAGAAGGCGTATATCTCTAAAGGTATATCACCACCTCGGGAGATAAGAACTCATTCTACTAGAGCATTGTCAACTTCATGGGCTAGCTGGGCAGAGGTTCCATACGATGATATTTGCAGAGCAGCCACCTGGTCTTCTCCGATGACATTCATGAAGCACTACAAACTTGATGTGGAGTCTCCTTCCACCTCCTTTGGAAAGAGTGTCCTGTCTACGGTCTCTTTATCCCGTTGATATTAAACTTTTCTTTGCTGCATGTGTTTTCAGCTTGTGTAATTTCTTGGATTATTATTCCCGCCCTATTTTTCTGTGAAGCTTGGGTATTACCCATAAGTGATGCTGCCATGATTAGCCAGGAATAGAGAAAATTTATGACAAACTTACCGTAATTTTCTTTTCCTGGCTATTTCTCATGGCAGCATCAGGGTTCCCGCCCATTCTTTATTTCAGCTTTATAATTGGACTGAGGTGTAGGGGGAGGAGGGACTCCTTATACCTATCAGTCTGATTAATTAATCTAATTCCTGTCCTGTGACTGCTAAGGGAGGAGCTACCCATAAGTGATGCTGCCATGAGAAATAGCCAGGAAAAGAAAATTACGGTAAGTTTGTCATAAATTTTCTCTATTTTTAGATTCTAATGCAATGGCGGGGTAGTGATTAAAAAAAAAAATCAAAATAAAGGAGTAGGGACAGGGACACTAGAGCATTAGGAATACAGTTTTATATTCCTAACACTATACAGCTTTCCTTTAATATTTATCAGAACTTTTATTTGAAGGCATTTCTCTGAAATAACACATTACAGCCAATTAGCTAGTCCAAAGAAAATAACAGCATCTGCTTCAGAGGTGTGATAACTCCAAAAATTCTAAGTAAGCACATTACACCGCATATAATTTACTTATGAAGTTGATATATTAACAATAACACAACAGACCATTATTACTAATAACAGTTACAACAGAATGGGCAGATGTGATGTTCCAACTTCAAATCTCAATTGGGTAGAATGCTCACATATTGATTTAACTGCCCACACATCCTGACCTTTAACCCCCAGTACTTAACAGAGACAAACATCCTAATGATTTTAGGTTGTGGGGGTCAGTAGCCGATAAGATTGCAGCCAACCGTAAAGGTCTTGCATGAAAATATTGTCAGTGTATCATTTATAGGCGTCCCCTGTCAAGTAGCGGTCACCCTAAAATATGATATCACAAGCAGATTGGCAGAAAAAGCAAAATGTATGGAATAATGTATAAGGCTTATTCAATAAAGAAATTTCAGCAGCAACCAGCACACATACGCTATTGATTAATGTAGCAGAGAGTTCCTTCCACAGTCAGGCTTATAAAAAATGCAGAGGCATAAAACAATAAATATCTAAATATAAAAGAAGAATGTGGGCAACGCACACAAGTTCCTGTTCAGGGCTGGAAAAGCAATTTAGAGACCTGCTAAAAACTAAGTGTGTTTTTTTCCTCAATCTCTGGAACTTCAGAACACAACTACATAGAACGTTCCCGAGGGCGACTTCCTGCTGAACTGGAGCTAAGAGCTGGCATAATGGCAATAGCACGTGGAGAACACAAGGTTCGCCAGAATATCTGGGTCTCTCGAAGTACATGCATCTTGAACTAGGGCATCACTGACAAACTGAACAAGCCACCCGAGAACTCACCAATAATTAGATTTAGTGCTAGTGTTCGGTAGGTGTTGTGTGCTATGTGTATGCCATTTGTTGTGTTGGTGTATTATGGGCACTATATGCCATTCAGGTACATAAGAAACCCTCATACATAAATCTACCCAAAATGTTGATGCGCAAAATAGTGGTAGATATTTGTGCTTCAAGTTTTTGAGTTAATTTATGTACGGGGATCCTTATATTGTTTTTTGGCTGCTACAATTTTATCAGAATAAGGACACATTGATTGCTATTTACTATTGACTTTCACTTTACATTTATAGAAGGTTACACTGATATTCTTGCAATCTGATCTTTGCACAAGAAAGTGTTCTGTTTTGCACAAAATATTTTGCACTTTAAAAAGGGATATACATATAATTTTTATTTCACTTAAAAAAAACAAAAAAACATATATATTGTTAAATGCTTATGAGCGCCTGTTTTATCCACTTATTATTTTTGGTTGTTATACATAAGAAACCCTGGTTGAATTGCTTAAAAAAAAAACTTTTTTTTGGTCACGCTTTTTTATTGAGGTAGAAGCATGACAAAACATGAATCTGCTTGTGCAATACATCACAGTAGGAGAGACATCAGGTCAATAACATGGCAAGTATTGAATCAAGACACTTTTTTTATATATATATATAATAAGAACAAGAAAAGAAACGCAAGGGAACAGAAAATGATAAGGGTGTAACCTCACATACTGGTTCATGTGGTGATTAGACCACTTTGCAGTCATGCAAAAGGATATCTGAGATATACCACTGGACCTGGACACAAACACGACTGTTCCCTAACTATTCAAGTTAACGGCCAACAAGAAAGTGATACTGTACTAAAAATTATCCAGCAGTAACCCTAGCTTGGGTTCAGGGGAAAGAAATTATTATTTGGACGGTCACTCCCTTAACAACGACACACCACGTGTGTCAGGTGTCTGCATATGTGTTAAAGTTAACCAAGGGGGCCACACGGGGGTGGGGGGATGGGAGGTGGGGGGAAAGAGGTGACGACTGCCAGCGCAGTAGCCCTATTGTGGTGGTATCGTGTGTGGGGTGGAAAGTAAAGTACCCGCAGGTAATCTTGTAGCCTTTCTTTAGATGCCACCATATTGGGAGGGCGGGGGGGAGAATGGGGTGGACTATAAAACTGATAAATATATAGATAAAGCATGAACATAAACTGGTAATGGCTTGTGAACTGGCAGAAGAAAGCATAGGCTTATGCACTTTTTGCTTAGTTTCGATGCTTAGTTTCGATCTGATATTGCTCCAGAAGCAGTGATTACGGTTGATTCTCCATTGGTTTGCCGGAGCACCCAAGAATGGTGTCCACACGGTTTAGTTGCTAAACTCCGCCCCCCTGCTTCAAAAACTTTTTAATAAGTTCATGCTTTTTTCCCCATCTAAATATTATTACTTTCTAAACATTTAATACATTTATGTTTTGTGTGTGGACAGCTGAGAGACTTGAAAGTCTTGTGCACTTCTAGTTCTTTGTATTTTTTATTTTTTATTTTTTTTTTTAGGGGAAACTATAATGCCAGGAAAACAAACTCTTTTTCCTGGCACTATAGCTTCTCCCTCCCTCGCCTTGCTGAAGTGCTTTTATATGTGATGAGTGTGTCCTCTTTTTCCACTGTACATAAAGTCCAGATTTAAATAGAAATTGGCACTTTTATAAATTAACCTTGTTACAGCCCCTGGCTTTCATACATCAGTCCAGTTACATCCTGGTTTGGTTAGCTCATCGGAGCTAAACGCAAGATGCAGCAATTGTCCAGAGCACATGCCTTGCAAAGACTTCTCATTGAGCTGCATTGGATAGTCTGTGATTGGACAAACACAAAGTCTGGGCAGGGTAAGAAGGGGAAGGCTTGCAGAGGCTGAGATCTGCAGCTTTTGCAGGCAGTTTCTGACATACTCACAATGGAAAAAATGCATAATTAAATGCGTACATGTTTTTACTGGGGGTATATCAACTAAAAAAAGTTATTTATTTTGCAGGGCTGTAGAGTGTCCCTTTAAATTTAAATGCTTTTAGTAAGTATGACATATCCAAAAACATTAATTTAAGAAAGTTTAATATGGGTTAAACATTCCATTTGGCTTACCTTCATCTGCAAGATGTCTCCTTCGTGTGCAGGCCATGCTTTTAGCACCAGGCCAGTTCTGGTATCCAGCAGCACAATAAACCCAGAAGAAAATCCTGCCACAACACTGCGTCCATTTGGGCTAACAGCCAAGTATCGTATAAGCCCTACATTTGCGTAGCTTGCCAGCTTGAATTCATGCTACAGGACATGGAAGAAATACAAATATAAATAAGCAGTGGGATCCAAAAGTAATTATGCTTTCTGCAAACTCGAACACAAGATTATCGGAGTTCCAAAACTTGCATGATATATCTGGGAGAGAGGACAATTTTGCCTTGAATAGCTTTTCCTCTAGCATCTAGGGATGAGAATTAATTAGCACAGTAATGTTCTGAACGACAGGATGTGCTATGTTGGCAGTGATGGTGCAAAAGCTCAAAAGTGTTAGTTGTGACAGATTGCCTAATGACATTAAATTGTCTGAAGTGATACCATGCATTACAAAATTTAGAGACAAAAATTTAAGCAGAGTTCATTTTGGTACCCTATGTTTAAAAACCACTCAGCTAGACAGATTATAATATTATATCTATATATACAAACATACAGAAATTCCATAGCCCTGAAATGTATGTTGTGTTACAGCTACAGCACTTTATAAGTAAGTAACTGAGTCCAGGCCAGCTCCCCAGTTTTTCACACCTCCTTGCCACACAAGTACTCCATTCCATGGCCTTAATTAACCTTGCCCTGCAGAGAGTCACAGGAGTAAGCATTTCCCAAGTAAGTGGATTAATCTCACAAGGACAGGCATTAGGTTGCTAGGATAGGACCTGCCAAAAATGGGGCACATTGACGTTGTGGCAGGCTTATGCAATGCATGATCTTATACTGTAAAAAAAACAAAAAACCCATTGTTTGTGCCAAGGTGAAGTGTTAAAAAAAACCCCAGAAACTTACATTTCTGCTGAAACAATTGTGGTTTAGTGAATGAGTAACTGCGCTGGACCTTGTACGTTTTACATTTTATATACACACACACATATATATATTCCATAGCACGATATGTATGTAGTGTTGCAAACTCCAGTTTAATGTCTACAATTCCACGAAGGAGCATATTCAGTAGACTTGGATCCTGATGAAAGTCCACAGTTTGAAATGAAGCACAGATTTGTTTTGCTCCATACATTAAGTCAGTCCATTGAGTGCTCTCCTTCATGGACATATAGATCTATGTATTACCATGTAGAGGAAAGAATGATTGTGGAAAATCATCTTTATTAACTCTAGTGCAGGAAATACAACATTTATTTGTACAATACCCTTTGGGTATTTAAATGAGCCATGTTTCAGAATAATGTAGATTAATATAATGCATCTACACTGATCAGCCACAGCTATAAAACCACTGACAGGTGAAGTGAATAACATTTATTATATTGTTACAATGGCACCTGTCAAAGAGTGGAATATATTAGGCAGCAATAGAACAGTCAGTTCTTGATTGTCATGTTTTGGAAGCAGGAAATATGGGCAAGCGAAAAGATATGAATGACATTGGCAAGGGCCAAATAGTGAAGGCTAGACGGGTCAGAGCATCTCTAGAATGGCAAGTCTTGTGGAGTGTTCCCGGCATGCAGTGGTTAGTACTTGCCAAAAGTCGTGTAAGGAAGGACAACCGGTGAACCGGTGTCAGGGTCATGAAAGCTCAAAGCTGACTGATGCACATGAGGATTGAAGGCTAGCCTGTCTAGTTCGATTACACAGAAGAGCTACTGTATCACAAATTGCTAAAAAGCTTAAAGCTGGCCATAAGGTGTCAGAACACACAGTGCTGTGCATTTAGGACTACATAGCCGCAGACCGGTCAGAGTGCCCATGAGGACACCTGTCCACCGACTAGAGCATCTTCAACAGGAAAGTAAGCGTCAAAAAACAGTCGATGGAGCAATGGAAGAAGGTTGCCTGGTCTGATGAAACACGTTTTCTTTTAAATCAGGTGGATGGCCTGGTGTATGTGTGTCATTTAGCAGGGGAAGAGATAGCAGCAGGATGCACTATGGGAAGAGTGTTATGCCCTGGGTAATGTTCTACTGAGAAACCTTGGGTCCTGGTATTCATGCAGATGTTACTTTAATACGTACCACCTACCAAGAGATTGTTGCAGTCTACGCACACCCCTTCATGACAATGGTGTTGCCTGATGGCAGTGGCCTCTTTCAGCAGGATAATGTACCTACCCTGCCACACTGCAAAATTGTTCAGAAATGGTTGAGGGACATGACAAAAAGATCAAGGTGTTCCTGACTGAGCATCTGTCAGATATGCTGGAACAACAAATCTGATCCATGGAGGTCACACCTGAAAACTTGCAGGACTTAAAGGATTTGCTGATCATGTCTTGGAGCCAGATACAACAGGACACATTCAGAGATCTTGTGGTGTCCATGCCTCGACTCCTCAGGGCTGTTTTGACAGCATGAGGTGGACCTTCCCTATTATTAGGCAGGTGGTTTTAATGTTATGGCTGATCAGTGTATTTCAGGAGTATTACTACACATTATAAACTTCTAAAATAGGTTGATGGGTACACGGTTATACAGGTTCCAATCTTACTCTAGGTACTATAGGTCTTAAAGGAGAACTGTTAAATCTCTACAAATTATACCATTGCAAAAAAAAAAAAAAAAACCTGAACATTGAAAATCACCTGTAACATCTGTCAAGCTTTTTCATGAAATGTTTTGTACACTTATTGTAAGATACACAGAGCAGAGCTTCTAATAAGGACTGACATGGAGGTAAAACAGAGGCACCCATTTGTAGAAACAAGTGATGACTGATAATATAACTTTATTTTCAGCATTTCACAAAGCCATATTTGTTATATATTGAGATAAGTGAACAATCTTAAAAATACTCTATGTTCACTGTAAACCCAATAAGGATGTACTACATTTCCACTGACTGTTGACATTGTTTTAACATTTATATTCCACTTTCCTACTTATTCTTTTGTCCTGTGTACTTTGAGTAAAAGGATACCAGATATGTAGAATATGTTAAATCGCTTGGCTTATTCAAACATGTAATTACAAATATTAAAATGTGCAGGATTTGAAAATGAATAGAACAAAAAATATCTGCTTATTGGCAGGGAAAATGGGTCTGGCTTAAACAAATGAAACATTAACAGAACAATAAGGGAAAAGGAAAGAATTTCTAAGCATCCAAATCCATGAAATGTCAATAGGTTTTTACCAATAAAGGTCCTATAATGTTGGCATCACAAAAATAAATGCACATTTAAAGCTCATCATATTTTGCAATACATTGCATCATACGAAATAAATAAAGAAACAAAATGTCTCTATTGTGACGAAACTACATCCCTGGTGCCTGTGGCAGATCCCCTGTTCATTCATTTGTGTGTTTTCCCCTTTGTATTATTGTGTTTCCCCTAGCTTTTCACGTACGATGCCCTGTTCAGGAGCGTTCATAGGAATGGAAGCCCTAAGTCTCCCGAACGGGGACCACCCCGGTGCCCCATTAGAATGTTCACACTAATTGATCAGAACGTTCTCACCTGCAACATAAATGCGAAATCGCAAGGGAAGTAATTAATGAGTGATCCCATGGGGGGCAGCCATTTCGTATAGACGAACGCCACCCGGGGGGAGCATTCGTATCCAGATAGGAAATGCTTCCTTTGCCAGTCGGGAAATGCTTGATGTGGGGGTTCTGGAGGTTGACACTTTTGGGGCACTGGCCAGTTTGGCTGGCTTTCTGCACCTGGAGGACAAAGAGACTGGGTCCCTTTTCTCACGCCTGGGCTCCCAGGTACAGAGGATCCTGGGATGAAGACCCCTGTTGTTGGGTGTGGGCTTTCTGTACCTGGGAGACAGAGACTAGGTCCCCTTTCCCGCGCACTGGCTCACGGGTAAAGAAGATCCTGGGTAGAAACCCTGGTTGGATGGGTGGAAAACCCCTTGCACGGGGTTATGCATAAAAGCCGCATGTGGCATAATAAAGTGTTGTTGTGCCCTTCATTTAGTCTCAACTGATGTTTGGGGATGTGATTGCTGAAACAGCGGTATTTACTTGTATGCTGCACCTGGGTTCTTAGGGAACGTACGAATCAGCACCCAAACTGCGAGCTATAATCACTAAGTACCTAGCTGTTGGGGGGGTGGATCCAAATGAACGGGAATACGAAATACGAACGTTTGTTACATCTATAAACAAAGCTATTGAAATAAATTGAACCAAACAGTAAACATTTATTAACGGCGTTAACAGCCAACTGTATGCCAACAAAGTGTTCTTGTGTTCTAAGGAGTCACTCTGGTTCTGTTAGATCCTAAAGGATTGGCTGACGGAGGTGTGTAACAGAAGTTAGGGCTATCCTGCTAAAAGCCATGCAAAATACTACAAACTCTCTCTCTTACTTTCATCTGCTGCTCAATGGAGTGGAAACTGGAAATCACGTGTCTATGCCCATTTCACTACATTTCGTACACTCAACCAATGACTAGTTTTAGTGACAACATATACTAGCTTATAACGAGTTTATATGTATTGTTTATTTGTTTGACAGCCTTTCATAAAAAATATTAATGAATTGCTGAAAGCAAGGAGCGCGGTCTCTGAATTTACACTTCTGTTCAGTGATTAAATGTATTATTAATTCAATAACTGTTTATTTCAATTTGATAAACCATTCCAGAAACCACCAATGCATAGACCCCCTCCCTCAGCCCACCCCCATTCTCAAACTATATTTATTTATTTATTTTCAACTGTAATTCATATCATTGTTGTAAATGACCCCTCTTATGTGCAGGAATATACATAAAAATTTATACTTTCCCTCCATTCTCATTTTTTTGGTAGCTTCCTAATACGTAAATTTCTCTATATTTTATTTACCACTTCTTAGCCAGTTAATGTCCCCCCCCCCTCCCCTCTTCATATCCTCTTGCTAATTCTAAAGAGAGCTGGCATAAAATTTCACAAGTAAAAATACATTAACTGCCTCAAAGGCAAATTTATATGTGTTTTTACCAAGTTCCGTCTCTCTGCAGTAGACACTGACCACAGGTATTGCCACAAGGCCTACGTAGAGAAAAGGTCAGTGCAGGCTGGGTCAGCCTCATTCTTTGATACTGACGCCCAGGCCGCTTCTGGTGACCCCAATACACCAGGTATATCGTTCTGGCACTGTAAAGCTTGCAACACTGGAACCATGTGACTGTTCTAATTTTGTATAAAACCTGGTGCAAAAAAGTGCCTCCTGGATGGAAATAAATGACTGGGAAGAGATCAGCAGTATGCAGAATTGACAGTCGATCCTTATAGCAGCAACAGAGGTCCTGGAGCCATATGTTTGATGGCTCTGTCTTAGATGATTGCTAAAGTACTTTTCATTCAAATGGAGGGTTTAACTGGGATAAAGGAAAGGTGGACAGGATTCTCACACTCACCTAGGGCTAATAATGTTAGGATAATAGAGTACATTCGTACAGAGCCAAGGATATTTTTATTCTACCATTATCCATTTTAGCCTCCGCGCTATTGGGGTGTTTACAGTCAGCCCAATGCTGATTTTTCCATTTTAGTTTCTTGTGCACATTATAGCAGACTAATAACACCAGTTCACTTCTGTTTACTTTGTTGCAAATGATTTAAAGTGTGCTTGATGTTGTTCTATTAAACAAGTTAACAATTTTACAACTTTCCATGTATTAAGGATAATAAATTGGGACCACAGTCGTGGTGGGTTTGATAAATAGATCAAGAGACACCATTTGGTCCTTAAATAGGAGTCCTTATAGTGCCCCCTTGTGGGAGCCCACTACATTTTTTTTTTTTCTTATTTTTTAAATTAAAAATTTTCCTTTTTTACAATCCCACCCGATTATTTTTGGTATGGTCAGTTTTCCTTTTGTTGGTAGTCCCATTCAACAGCTACAGTAACTAGCCACTTGTACGAACCTATGAGTATGGTGGCGAATTTAGCTTGGGGTTAGGTGATATTTTGGAGGGATTGCCTATCAAATACTGGGCACAGCTTTGCTTGTTTGGGAGAGTGATTGATGTGGGGGACATTTTTAAAAGCAAATTCACTAATGTTTGTAAATGTGCATGTCACAATGTGTGTTTTTTTTTTGTTTGTTTTTTTTTACACTATGGCCATAGTAATTTTTAATAGATTCTATAGCAGAATATCCTAGGTTGCTAAATTAGTATACTATCTGTCATAACCATGTGTTCTTCAATTAGAATTTGCTGAAATGGTATGGTCCACTCGTTTAGCTATATCTGAACTATACTGTGCTGGCAATGCTAAAGAGAGAATTGCATGCTAGCATAAGGGCTTTAGTGGCCAGATGAGGAATTTGGCAAGAAATGGTCAATGTGCTCTAAGTAACAAAGGAAATAGTAGCAGAGATTTAGAATGTGTGTGGGACTTTGTGGCTGACAGTTTGGAAGAAGTCATGTGGCTTTTAAATAGAAAGTAGATTATATTCATTAGAGGTATGCTTCTGTTAGTCATTAATATTCCCTAGAGCTTGTACACGGAAAATAATTTCTGAGCAAAATGTATGACATTCCTCCTGTACAGCAGTGCAAAGTTATTTTAATCAATAGATTTTAAAAAATGTTCTAAACTTCATCTTCTTTGTGTCGGAAAGTGGTGTCCACATGTGAGCTGAGAATTCTTGGCATTTGACACGGTCTAATAGATTCCATGAAATATGAACGTAATAAAGATGTTCTGTTTTATATTACATTTTTACCCCCAGTAACATTTTTACGCACTCTTCTTGTGCATTTTTTCTGCTTTTGTTCCTTAATCTATTACCAATCCACACCCCTTTTCTCTACTCAACTATGAATACTGCTTGCATTGGTTTAACTCTGAAGAAACAGTAAAAATTACAAACATCTGCTAGGGTGAAACATAGAGTTGAAAGAGATGCATGAGCTATAAAGGACGGGTAACAATTAGCACTTTGTTTAGGAGGCCAAAACGTTGGTGCTGGAATTAATGTTGCACTAACTGGTACAACAGCCGTCAAATTAAAATTTGTAGTGTGTCAAGAGGCATGATCTCCAAAATGTGTCACTCCTGGACAAACTAAACTGGGAAAAGATGACTGACAAGGACCCGTGAGAACTTCACAAGATCATTACTAAGTAATACGAAAACAGAATCAGAATCAAAAAAAATAAAAATAAAACGTACACTGTAAGGGTCTCAAAGCACCCAACCACAAAATGGATGTTATCCAACGCTGGCATACAAATACAACATGATCGGAAAACCAAACTTTAATTCTATGGACAACATTTGGATAAGTTTATGTTTGAACAAATTTATAGAACAGATTCAGGCTACAATATCTGTTGCTAACGAGCCCCCAGCACACAATTGCCAATGTCTCCAGATGTGCAGTGTTTCAAGCTGAAACACTGCGAATCCAAGCTCCTACCACCATGACCACTTTAAAAAGCTGAAGTGGTCAGGTGGTTGTAGTACCATTTAATAAAAATCTCTCTTTTTCCACTGAAAAAAAAAAAATCATAATTTAATACAGAGCACTGTGGTTTCTATGTACTTTGCAGAGTATATATATGTTACAGTTAAAGTGCAGAAATCAGTTAATGTGCACATTACCTAGTTAATCTGCAGATTAACTAGGGCGATCAGTTAAAAGTTAAAAGTGCAGAAAATTATTTCGTTTCTCAAATATTTCTCACATTACCTAGGTAATCTGCAAATTACCTAGATAATCTGCACATTATATACTAGGCACTCGTTCAAGTGCAAAATAATCATTCTGTCCTCCATCTCTGAGGGGCTCACAGCTCTGGAGGACACCATGGTGTGCACAGCCTGCAGTTCTGTTCTTGTCTGGACCACGTAGTCACATAACTCTTCAAACAGTTATCCCGAACTGGTAAGAAACGAGGAGCCCCCACCACCACAAGAGATCGAGCGCTTCCTGCACATTATGCAGCAACACCCTGAAATGATCCCAGCAGATGCTCTCCACTGTTTTCAATATCATCATATATTTGAAGACTGTCGGAATCAGTGGTCCATAAGCTCCTTGGTCTCATTCTCCTCAATGAGAGAAGTATTTCTCGGACTTAGGGAGCAGCATTGTTAGTAGCCAGCCCCCCTCTGAGAATCAACAAGCAGTCTATGCTTTGAGAATTTGATGGTGGAGGGCATTGAAAGGAACTTGCTCACAAAAAGAATCGAGACAGGTTCACACAGAATCTTTCTGCCTTCAGACGAGAAGTGAACAACTCTGCAGAGACTGCACTGAAAGGGTGAAACAGGTTCTTCAAGGACTTTTTTGTAATAAAGAATTCCTCTTTTTACCGAGGGAAAGAAACAAAGATTTTGCACTTTAACTCTTGATTCCGCACTTTGACAGAGCAAATCAGTTAATCTGCAGATTAACTAAGTAATGTGCACATTAACCGATTTCTCACTTTAACTGTAACATATATAAGAAAAGCTTCTGCTGCACTTACCTGTAGTAACTGAATGAAAGCCGTGGATGCAGAGAACCTTGTACTGGCACCTGAATGTGATACCTGCAGGTCAGTCTCTAAAACAGGTGCAGTACCACCTCCTGTATAGTATTTCGCACACAACTATTTAAATCTGTACAAGGATGTTAACATTAGAAAAAAAAAAAATTTAATGAGATTGATTGTTTATTTTAAGAAAGTTACCTGTAGGCCTGGTTTCCGGATATCAATAAAACGAAGTATAGAGTCAGAGCTTCCTATGGTCACACTGTTATAGGGGGGTGGCATTGTGGCAACTGCAGTGACGGGGACTTTAATATCTCCAGCCTCGTAGGTTCGAATGGTTTTTCCTGTTAAAGAAAAATAAAAATAAAAAAAAACTTGTCTTATGTCTTTGGTTACAGCATGTTTAGAGTAGCAAGAGGTAGAGAAGCAGTGCACCAGTCACTTGAATGCAAAAATGTATTTTGAAAAGTACAATCTGTGGCTGTGGGCATACTTTGATTCTTGAGTTCTTAACTATCTACTGCAAAACTACTACTTGTGTGTGCTAGGATTGGATTACAATTAATAAAGCTACTGCTAAAATTACTACACAGTGCTCTCAAAAAGAAAGTGTCCAGAGATACAGAACGCTTAAAAAGCAGAGCAAATCTTTGCTCTGCAATGTGTGAGTGACCAATTTACATGAGGAAATTTTACAGTGTTTTACTAGAACATTTTAAGTTTTTCTATTGTTTTAATATACAGTGCTCAAAGTATACAGTTTTGTAGTCATAACTATATCAAGTCTTTTGCAAATTCACATGCATGTTTTTTCCATTTTACAAGTTTTTTTTTGCTCTTAATTATGTCCACTTCCCATTATTTTCCATTACTGTTAGAAGCAATGGGTATCCCCAGTTCTCAATGAACTATTAGACCCTGTGCTTGCCTAGTGAAGATTTGAAGGAACGATCCCACAGCTGTGGAGTTAGTGGTCATCTCCCAGAGTATAAAATAAGTAAACATTAACAAAGGAAAAAAAGTTTTTATATCTCATGACGCTCTTTACAAAAGGTTTTATTTTTTATATTTTGAGTCAAGATATACAGCTTTTGCAAGTAAAAAAATACTTGCTCGAGTGTACTAACATAAAGAAGCTGTAATATCATTAGCAAACCATGGAAATAACACAAGCCTCAACATTTAATACTTGTTAACAGAACACTAGCCACTTGTACCCACAGCACAGACGTGCAGGAAAGTCCTTGCCTTCGTTCATCAAGTTCATAATTGTTGTAGCAATTTGTAATTATTATAGCCGCTAATCTCCTCTCCCTACTCGATCATGCCTTAGGTTGACGCTATTTATCAAATGAGATCATTAAAGTACGGCTCCTATGTAGTTTGGATTTACTGCAGAACTACTTATCTCATAAACCCATTTTGACAGTCCTCCCCAAGAAAAGTAATGGACAAAAGGATAAGCTAGCAGCGCTAGGCAACCTTTGGCACTCCAGATGTTGTGAACTACATCCCCCCCTGATGCTTTCCCAGCATTATGGCTATAAGCACATTATGGGAGACATGGTCCACAACAATTGGAGTTTCCCCACACCTGAGCTAAGGCTTTCGAGACACTTCCCAATTCATGTATTAGCTGTAGATTAGTAGAAAACAAAAAAAGAAATTCAACTGCAATTATGTATTTTAGATATGAATCAAAACAAAGTGTTCATCTCCAGACTGGAATGTCTAATTATTAAAATTCTGGATGATACAACTTTAACTCATCAGAATACTTTAAGGATATGGTTATCGTATTCTCATTGTTTTTCAATTTTATGGTTTTCTACGTTATGATTTGGTTCGTTTTAGGTTCACTGTATACTGGTACGTTTTTACTTTTGAAAATGCCAATAAAATGTAACTGAAAAGACAAAAAGAAATATGGATGATATCCACATGTGCTCAGTGAGCAGATAACTTCAACCAGCAGACCTCTATCCAAGGTTAGAATACAACTCCTTTTATAGAAAGCAGCCTCTTTATGCCAGGGGCAGTAGATTTATGGTTACGGTCTATGTTGACTTGCATTCATTTGGATACAGTCACTTTTGCCATTTTCCTACATTTATGCCATTCCATGCCAACCAACCGCAGGCTGTTTTGGAACTGAACAATAGCGGTTTGTAAGGCAGGGCAAGATGTACTGACATTTTCCACATACCCAACCTAGATGGAAAACATGACAAAAAAGAAAAGGTAATATTCCTTCTAGAACAAGAATAATGAAGAAAGATTTTTACGGCCCATTAAGTATATTTCAAACAAGCATTTCTAAAAACCACCAATGTGTGATTATCCTTTTATTTTCTTCCTATTTCAAAAAGAATAAATAAAATACTTCATGTACTACCCATGCATCCACTGTTAAACATCCAAAATATATAACACATGCGTGGTGAAACAGGTTTATTTTGCTTAAAATATAAATGAGGACTAAACCGATTTCACAGTTTTGATTCCCCCCCTCCCCCCTCCCAAAAAAAAAACAAAAAACAAAAAAACAGACAGACATTCTCCTTTCAAAACCACCATCACCCTAATGGTTACATTATTATATGGTCTACTCTAGACTGCAAAAAAAGGATACAAATGCAAATGTCCACCAGATGGCATGCTGTGCCAAGGAATTCACCACAGTACTGCATGCATGTATTAAAAAATAAAAAAAATAAAAGACAATGTAACCCTACCTTTAGATATGGAGCAGCCTATGCCTCTGTGGGGAAATGGGTGTGGTTGGGAGGCAACCGATATTAGCTTTGTTTATACACATATTCACTGTTGCAGCTATATTCAGTGAAAAGCATTTAACTTATTTTTAAATGTTGTACGTGGGGTAATTTTTTATGTAAACTAGCACATTTTAGAAAGGTTTCTCAGAAGTAAATTATATAGACAGAATGCAGACATTCAACTGCATTCTATACACCTATCCTGCCAGGCTATTTGAAGATTTTTTTGTAACTCCTCTGATCCCCTATAGGTAACAAATATGTTTTTGTAAATAAAGGTGGGAGAAAATAAAATTAAATATGGAAAATTACATCTCTTTATACTGCAAATCAGTTCCTCCCTGTCTGTCATGGTTATAAGCTCTGCCCTTTGCACCTGTCAGTCAGCATAGAGAAAGCATACAGAGAAGAGGAGACATGAAACAATGTTTCTGTTTTTCCTCTTCATTTGCATTTTGTGCCTCAGCTGTGCCTTGTCTGAAATGGATCGTGATTTAATTTGCTAAATCTTTAAAGATCCACTATAGTGCCAGGAGAACAAACTCGTTTTCCTGGCACTATAGTGTTAATAGGTCGTACCCCCCCATGGCCCCCCTCCCGCCAGACTGAAAGGGGGAAAGGGGTTAAACTCTTACCTTTCTCCAGCGCCGGACTCCCTTGGCGCTGGGGACTCTCCTCCTTCCGACGTCATCGGCTGAATGCGCAGCAAGAGCCGCACGCGCAGTCAGTCCATAGGAAAGCATTTCTCAATGCTTTCCAATGGATGCTGGCGTCTTCTCACTGTAAGAAGCGTGTCAATGAGACAGCCACTAGAGGCTGGATTAACCTATATGTAAACATAGCAGTTTCTCTGAAACTGCTATGTTTACAGCAGAAAGGGTTAATCCTAGCTGGACCTGGCACCCAGACCACTTCATTAAGCTGAAGTGGTCTGGGTGCCTATAGTGGTCCTTTAATATAAACTTTAAAACTAAATAACTTTAATTTAAAAAAAAAAAAAAAAGTTTCAACACAAGTTATAGGTGATTTTCAATGTTTTATCCAGCGGTGTACTTTTAGGTAAAGTGACAGCATATTATATGAGTTTTGTAGATTAAATGTACTGCATAAACAGGAAACTTTGCTTTAAAATAGCAAAGCAGACCATCAGTCACTCCACAAATTTGTATTTTATGACTCACTGGCTTCTTCAGACCATTTTGGTTTTAGATAGTTTGCTGAATATATGTTGCAAGCATTATCTAGGTCACTGGTCAAGTCTGCAGTAGATTGTAACAACAGGAAGTGGTGTGTCAGAGGTTAAGCTGTGATCAGTAATGATACATGGTAAAATGGTCTCTTATTTACTTTATTCCCATATTTGGCCACTACTGTGGCATTGTGGTCTTGTTTGTTACATGTCATAATATTAACTTTGTAGAATAGTTCTCAGAAGCTCAACTTGTATTCATGTACTAAAAGGAACAATAAATGATTAGTAATACAAACATGTATTTTTATTTTTTATGTTTTAATCCCCTTGCCCACGTGTGCAATATAATAAATGGTTTTAACATAACCTTTTTCCCGCACAAGGCTCCCTCGGAGCTGCTCACCTCGCCACTTCCTGCAGTTACATGGCCTCCTCAACAATGGTCCAATCAAATGTTTCTCATAGAAGAGGATTAAGAAAGTAATGCACAAAGTTTCGAATGGGGGCTTCCACATTACATGCCAAAGTTTTACTGGCTGTCAGGAAGGCGGCCTCTTAAGGCAAATTTAATTGTGCAATGCAAACATCGCAGTTTCTAAAAAAAAAATTGCATGGTTAAAAGGGATAGGACTACTGCACCCAGACCACTTCATTGAAAGTTAACTGTTGAAGTGGCTGCGTCAGCAGTCAGATATAACTTACGAGAGTAAGTAAAGTATTGACTATCTCCCAATCCTGGTACTCTCATGGGTACATGGAAGGACAGAAGAATATTTCTTCTCTTTTAATAGATTTTTTGCGGTGTGATGAGTACATTAACGAAAAAAAGTAAATAAAAACGCAGGTCAGGTTCTAAGGATCTGAAGAGTTTTTCTATAAGTTGTTTTGTTTTTTTTCAGAATTATTTGAAGTCTGCATTAGGATATAGATGGCTGAAGCCGTTCACTGCAATTCAATTTTCCATTGCTAAAACCCATACAGTTTGTATTCTACGCAGACTACATTATTTGAAGAAGATGCATTCTGATTTGTGTGTGTAATAAAATATAGAAATCTTTGAAATAACACAATAGAGGATGTATTTATGAAAACATTTGTCCAAACTAGAAAGAACGTTTTGTCAATCGTAAAATAATGTTCTTTTTATCTATTAAAACCTAATTCCTACCTGTAAACTGGTCCCATATGTTGACTCCTCCATCACAGCTTACTATCTGCTGAACAGACTCCAACTGCCCCACATAAAATACAGACTTCTTGTGTTCAGTATAAGTCAAACGGGGTTCTATCTCCTTGGTGCCATCACCATAGTTATACAGCGGCCACAAACGAACAGTTTTGTCCTTACTTCCACTCAAAAAAAAGTCTTCTCCATTTAGGGGATGGACACATTTGATGGCTCCGGAATGCCCCGCAAAGCTCTGAAGCTTGATCTGGTGGAAGTAAAAGTGAGGTTCTTGTTGACTAACACCAATCTCATACTGCCAGTATGCCAACCAGTTTCCACACAGGCTATGCGCACTCTTTTTCAGGTCCTGCTTGAAAGAGTTTTCATCAGATTGAAAGCTCTCTATGACAGGGCTGCAAGAACTTGACCTAGATGCGGTGTACTGGATATCTTTAGGTACTTGTATACGGTTGCCAACCAAGACACTTCCAAAAGTACCCGACTGGGTGTCATCTTCAGCGCTACGTAGTGGGTTATATATCCTTGACTTGTACTCCTGGGGTCGCACTTGACTGTCCATTTCCTTTGGAATCACAGCTTCTTGATAGTCCATTGTTAGATTCCAAATTAAATCATGGTTGGGCAGCAACTGACTCATGCCATCACCTTGCAGAGAAAAAAACAAAACAAAAAGTATGAATTTATATAAATATTAGATGCATTCAGCCTGATCTTGTAAGATCTCTGACCTCAAGCAGATCGGTATGTGCCTCAATCTTTATAAAAAGAGCCACCAGTCAACCCAGGGTATTATTCTTTGCAGTTTTCTCTTCCTCTGCTGTTATTTTTCTTGTATGAAAAAAAGCCACCAGTGCTTATTTAAGGAATGTATGGGTGAAACACGAAGGTCAACCTATCAAGAAAAGCTAGGTATTTGCCTCAACTGTTTTGGACAAGCTCTGGATGACAGAAATGGTGATCAACATGTTTAATAGACTAAGAATAAAAACTCATGAACATTAGTCACCACATTCTCAGCAGGAACCAAGATTCAGACCTTACACGTGAAGTATCTCCTCCACATGTACAGTGATGTGAGCTGGCCACCTTAGCCCCCTCTCACCCCCATCTCCCAGTTGTTGTATATCCACTAAGGGAGAGTAGGCAACTGCTTACTAGGGAAGCAGGTTCCTACTCTGCCGAAATAAACTAGTTTAGAGGGAAAAATAGAGGAGGCGGCGTGATCTTCCTGCTCTTTCTTACTGCTCCCTCATGCACTCTGCGGTGATGCCAGGATAGGACGCCACTCCGGCCCTGGCATCACTCCGCGGCACACAAGGGAGCAGTAAGGGAGGTGAAAGATTAAAGCACCTACAGTGAACCCCAGGGAGAAAATCCCCACTGGAACGGAGAGAGAGGGCTCACACCAGCTCTCACAAAAGTCAGGGAGGCTGGGTGGGCCTCAAATTTTTTTACATCAAATAAATGTGTGTGTGTGTGTGTGTGTGTGTGGATATGAGAGTGTCTGACTGTGTGTGTATGTGTATGAGTGAAAGCATAAGTGGGGCCCATCTCAGATTCTCGCACCAGGGCCCTGTGATTCCGAGTTACGCCCCCGCTTATGCTAAAGTTGTTTTGGTATATACCACTACAATATTTCTCCTTCTAATTCTAGCCAGATAAGAGAGACCCCTTTCTGGGTGGTGCTGCTGCCTGTTCCATTCTAACTGTGTACTTTCTAGTGCTTCACCACTTTTATAGCTCTAAGATTTTATATGAGCAACAGTTTCAATCAACAACAAATCGAGGCAAGACCCTTACCGATAAGACAGGAGAATGGGATGAATGTAGCATAAGCCATTTCCGCACTGAAAACCTTTTCCAGCTCATCAAGCAACGTCAGATCAACAGTTCGTGTTCTCCCATCTGCGCACTGCACACTCCGCACTGAAGGTTCTGAGTTGGTTTGATCCTCAGTAATAAAGACCTGTAAACGGGATATCAGAGGAAACAATGCAGATTGCTCCACACTTTAAACCTTGCAAGAATTGATCATTATATGAATATTAACGTATCAAAGAACTAAATTTAGAGTATCAAACAACTACATGGAAAATATCATTGTGCAATTGGACACTTATAGCACAAAAATAAAGTCACTCTGTATTATTAGTAGTAGTATTTATATGACACTAACATTCTGCAACGCTTTACAAGTAATTCAAGCTTAACAAAATGTTTTTGAGTGTCAAATAACAGAACTGCAAAATGTACATATTTTACATTGTGCATATAGTGAACTTACCCAGGATGCTTTCCAAAACATATTAAATATAAATATATTAAAATGGGAACGCAAATCAGGAGTGTAAATAATAGGCATACCATAAATCAAAAGAAATTAGGGTAGGTTTTTCTTGATTTTTGAAAAGGAAGCAATGATGGAGTTGCTGAGAGGCAAGGGGGACAAAACAAATAAAAATAAAAAAGATAGAAGAACAAACAAGTTCAACCAAGAAGGAGTAGAGAAATGAAGTTCATAAGGAGGTTAAAAAGGGGAATTTAAATAGGTAGAACAAATGGTTTAAGATTGTGGAGTGTGTGTCATAAGCATGATAAAGAACATTCAGTAGAATTCAAGTAGCAGCAACAATTTGTACAAACGGTGACGGAGTAATAGGGAGAGTCACCAAATTTGCAATTACTGGATCCCGGTGTAGAACAGCTGAAGGGGTGCATGAGGGGAAGCTTAGCATAGTACTGTGCAGATGGATCGCATAGTTATAAATAGGTTGGGTTAGTAAACAAAGGTAATAAAAGGTTATACTCCTGATTCAGATGACAGAGGCATTAAATGATGATGCCAAGATATTTGGCTGAAATAGAGAGGGACGTGGTAAGAGGTAATAAGGAATTACTGGGGATAAGACGTGTAATAAAAGAGGAGGGGGAGGAAGCACTTTATTACCACCAATATAAAATCTTAACAAAATATGCACAGAAAAATTGGCCAGCGAACCTTGTGCCCGAATTCTGAACAGAATTAAAGCATATTGCTTGTCAAGAGCCTCCCACAGAGAAGGATAACTGAACTGATCATTAATAAATTTGTTAAATGGAGCTAATCTAATGTCTTGAACTTGGGTGAAAGAATCTCTTAATGGTACAGTGAAGAGTTACGGATTACGCAGCAGTGTTAATTTTGGCAGCAAATTTCAATTTAGTTTTAGTCATAGTCTTTTGACTTAAAAGCCATCTTAGTTTTAGTCGTATTTTAGTCATCCGAGTTGTTTTTGTTTTAGTCGACTAAATCTCCAGTAGATTTTAACCAACACAACTAAAATCTAATGGGTTTAGTTAAAGGGACACTATAGTGTCAGGAAAACCGCTTGGTTTTCCTGACACTATAGTTCCCTGAGGGTGCCCCCACCCTCAGGGTCCCCCTCCCGTGGCGCTGAAGGGGTTAAAACCCCTTCAGCTACTCACTCTTTCCCCCCGCCGGGCTCCCTTACCTCTCCTCCCCCGCCGACGTCAGCATCCTTGTCTGACGTCACCAGCGCCGAATGCGCATGTGGGCCACTGCCGCGTGCGCATTCAAAGTGTCCGTAGGAAAGCATTTTTCAATGCTTTCCTATGGACGCTCAGCGTGATTGAGGCATTACATGCCTCAATCATTGCCAATGCGCCTCTAGTGGCTGTCCGGAAGACAGCCACTAGAGGCTGGCGTAACCCCAGATGTAAGCATAGCAGTTTCTAAGAAACTGCTATGTTTACAGCAGGCAGAGTTAACCCTAGAGGGACCTGACACCCTGACCACTTCATTGAGCTGAAGTAGTCTGGGTGACTATAGTGTCCCTTTAATGCCTCTGTCTCTTTTGTCCCTTCCCCAGTCATCTGTGTCTTTCTGTCCTCCCAGCCCCTCTAGGTGTCTCTCTCCCAATCCCTGATCTGTCTTTTTTTGCAGCTTCCACAGCCACTCTGTGCAGTGTTAATTTTGGCGGCAAATTTCAATTTACTTTTAGTCTTAGTCTTTTGACTAAAAAGCCATTTTAGTTTTAGTTGTATTTTAGTCATCTGAATTGTTTTAGTTTGTCTAGTTTTAGTCGACTAAACCTCAAAAGATTTTAGTAGACATAAATTTGACTAAAATTGTTGGTCGACAACATTAACACGGTTATGAAGTGCATTTATTATTGGTAGATTGTGAGTATAGATGCACTGACCTGCTCCTGAAAATCTTGCAGGATGGTGAAGTTGCTGAAGAACATACGAAGGGCTTCCCCAAGGTGCTCTTGAACCATCTTCCGTCCTATCCTGAGACAGATTAATGAAAGGAGACTGCTGCACTTCACGCAAAGAGCGATGCGGGCCTGGGCTCCACTGGGAAACCTGTTAAAGGGAATTTATCCAAACCATAAAATGTCAGTTTGTAAAATATAGTAGAACAAAACACATTCTTGCACAGTTATCTGCCATGCAGGTTATGGACATTTCAGCTTTGTATTGCAGGTAGTATATTTTGTACACCTACTGTACAAAAAGTACAGAATTTTTTTTACTGCAGTATAAAGTAGTAAAATGCCTCCAGCAGTAAGGCAAAGCTCAGAAGAGGCTCAGGAATACATGGGTTAAGCAGCACATTCTGTAAAAGAATCATTACTTGATTCTAAGATCTGGCATATTCTGACTGGAGAGAAGGACTGCAGCTTTGCATGGCAATATGAATCAATTTCTGAGAGACTGCCTTAACTCAGCTGGCTCTAGACTGCAGGGCTTGGCTCAGGAGAGCTAAAGAGCTTCTGACTCGCTCTCTCTATTTGACTTACTCCCTCCTCCCCCATTTTCTCTCTCTCTTTTTTTTTTTTTGCTGCACATTGTATAAGAGAGTAGGGAGCTGCAAATTATGCCTTGTACATTTCTAAAGGATATATTGCAGTGGGAGCTGACAACCCAGCCTATCACAGGCACCCAAAGCAAAGGTATGTGCATTGAAGTTGGTACAGGACGAAGATGTAGAGGGGTCAGAAAGATGAAAGTATTTAAAAATGGTTTACCCCATAAGGTAAGACGTACCTAGAACCTCCAGACACCATAAAATCTTTGTTGAGATGAAGTTGTTATGGTGTCTGGAGTGGTCCTTTAAACAGAGGATTATGGCCCTTTGTGAACTCACCAATCTAGGTAATGTAATAGAATGTAGTGACCTGGCCAGTAACCTTGCTGCTAACTTTTCACAAATATGTATTTTTTATTTTTTTTTACTTTAAGGACATATGTAATGCAAACAATGCCTGCTGTAATTATTACGAGTGGTTATGCTGTTTGAAGTGTCCATCAGACACACCTATAGAAAGAGAGAAGTAAAGAACTTTGCCAATGGACTTCAACCTCATACAAGGCAATATTCAAAAAGGCCCAGGATATACAATCCTAGATGTATATTAGGACAAAAATACAATTGTGAAAGGAACATAAATTGTATCCATAATTGTGCCAATATAAGGAGTTCTACTTTAGAACCTATACAGCAAATATTCTGAAAATAGAAAATATAAGAAATGCTTTACAATCACTATACAGTGAATGTGTATACAGTACAAAACAATGCGTTCACAGCAAGCAAATATAAAATAGAGACAAAGGATAGACAAACAATGCAAGACGTCTGGAGGTGCCCTTGCTCGAGTGGGTCTGCAAAGAAGAGAAGTGGGAGGAGAAGAGAAGAGTGTCCAGTGGAGTGACTAGTTTGGTCCCATGCCCAGCATAAATCTAAATCTGTATGGAGGAGTTGCACCAGAGCGATAACTAGAAGCCCTGGTGGTGGCCACACTGATGAGGATTAGCAAATCAAGGGTCAGATATGCTGAGCTGTTAGAGATTGGATTAGGAAGGGACGGGGAAGGTTTTAGTGAAGGTGTGTGTTTTCAGACGTGTGCATGATGCTGGTAGAGAGGTGACAGACTGGATGTTCGGAGGGAGGTATTTCCAATGGCATAGGGTCAAGAGTGAAAATTAACGTAATCATGAAGAAGTACATGCGTGTGGTGGTTAGGTAACCTTTGCATACCTCTGCTGTTGCTAAGATAGATGAAATAAATAGCTACTTTCAAACTAAATGTTCTTTGCAAAGTTATAGCGTGAATCCTGTGCTGATTACAAGAATTTTAAAAACATCCAAGTGATATCTGTATTGATCAACAAAATGCTAGCTCTCTTTAAATAGCCCCTTGAACTGAAAGTTTCTTTCATATTGTTTGAACATAAACAGGTCATACAGAGGAAAGAGGATTTTTTGTGACCACTCGAAACTCATTACCCAGATTGGAGTTATTGCAAAGTCTCTTTTCATGTAACTATGTACACATTATGTGACAAAAGAAAACCAGTAATGATGACAGTTTGTTCCTGAATGAAAGAAATATTGATCCAGGTAATGAAAAGTGTATTTGTGCACATACTCTGCACAGAATGAAGAAATCAAAAGTAATTGTATAAAAGTTTTTTCATTCATACAAACATTTGTGTAAACAATTTATATTAATTTAAGCTAATATATTGTTGAGATAAAAGGGGTCATGATTTCTACCACTTCCAAAATAGACTGTTTTTCCGTGTCAATAGAATGCAATTATCTGGATCAAAATAGAGAGTTCTAGACATTCCACGTGTGTTTCATCTTGTTGAACCATTTGTTCCGGAACACGATCATCATCATTATGGATTTACAGACACTTCATTGTGCCGAGAAGATTACATCAATTTTCAAATTAATAATATAATAATAAGGCTATGCTGTGCTCTTCTTATGTCTACTCATCATGTTAAATACAAAATACTGATAATTTGGAAAACACACTAGTACATAATTGGCAACTCTTTTAGACCGAATTTCCTGAGCTTCAGCTATGGGTAACAAACGTTTCTCGTCCACGCAGAGGCAAAAGTAATCAATTAGAGATTAAAGCTAGCATGCAATAAAACTAGATTACTCATCACAGAGCACAAAAAAAAAAAAAAAGACTCAAATCACATCAACAACACGGAGCAGCTATAAATAAAAAAAAGAACAAAGCAGGAACAAACCGATTTGTTCCATTTTAATGCCCAAGACACACACACCTAATTCACATTAACTGCCTAACATTATGGTGTCAGTCTAATATCGTCACCATATTAAAGGAGGTGAAGGAAATAAACAGGAACATTGCACTCGGTCACCTGGAAACAGTCAGTATTTTTAGGGAGAATAAAATATTACAAGATTAAAAGATTGATCCCAGTGGTGTATTATTTTGTAACCAAATGCATAAGTGAATTCTTATCAGTGCATTTTCTGGCTAATCTTAACTCTGTGGAGGCAGCCATCTTTACCTTATCTGCTAAGACCATGCACAATTTGATGTGTGAATCCATCACAGAGGGCATTTTTGAAATGCCTACTGCTTGTGCACAATATCATGATTTGTGAATGCAAACTAGCACAGTTTTGGACAGATGTGAACATGTCTGACCAAACAAATAAATATGAAAGCCAGTGGATAAGATGAAAATGGGCATATATTGTAGATATTTATATTTCACAAAATAATAATAATAATAATAATAATAATAATAATAATTAAAAAAGTATTGTATGTACTCTTACTTTAAATAATAAATTATCATATTTTTATTTTAAATTGGGGTTTCTGAGGATACCCAACTTATTTTGTTTGGTTTCTCCTTCTGCTGCACATTGGTTAAAAGAAGAGGGATATGCAAATTCTGCCATGTACATTACTAAAGCATTTCTCTCAGTGGGAGGTCTATGATAGGTTGGGAATGTCAGCTGACACTCCCAGCCTATCACAGGCACCCAAAGCAAAGGCATGCGCATTGAACCGGGGCAGACGAAACCATTTGGAAATAGTTTAACCCCATAAAGTAAGACGGTGCCCAGGACCTCCAAACACCATAAAATCTTAATCGAGATGAAGCTGCTATGGTGTATGGAGCAGTCCTTTAAACAGAGGATATTTGTTCTCTGTGAAGTCAATAATGAAGGTAAAGTAATAGAATGGAGTGACATGGCCAGTCACCTTACTGCCAACCTTTCACAATTAAAGTATTTGTATATATATTTTTTTCCTTTCGTATTTGTATATATTTTTTTTTTCAGACACGTTAGGAAATGCATAGCGACTGACGCATTTAATACAAGATACAGGCATTTCTGAATACGGATAATGGTGCTGCATGTCATCCTGGAGTCCCACAATTCTTTACAGTACAGAATAATATAAGATGCCACCACTTCAGTAGAAGTAACCAGTAGAGGTTTTTAGCCAACAATGAGGACCAAGTAAAGTCTTTGTTCAGCACTCTAGCTTGCCATAAAATTTCATTTTGCTTCAGCTATTTTGTTCTATCTATTGAACTGTATACAGGGTAGGGTGAAGTTAATTTACAATGCTGTGTAACAATGCTGCCGCCATCCCATCGGTTCCCTATTAAGGGTTAAGAAGTATGTAGAGGTTTAGTAAAAATACTCCTCTATGTCTCAGATATCTTTGCCTGGAGCTCAAGGAAGCAAGGTGAATAGTCAGTGTAGGACCCACCTAAGAGGCTTGCCTTAACATGGCAGGTGGGCTTCCATCTAATGGTCATTGGAGTTACTAAATAACCTCCATTTATTTAAATATGCATAGGGATTTGGAAAGAGCGCAGGCAACTTTTTTTTCTGAAGTTAAATTTTGTTTTGCGTAGTTCCAGTAATGGAGTCAAGAGAATTGTGCATCCCCATAGGGGGTATGAAATGATTTAAAATGTATAGTTTGCCTAGTGTTTGCAATGGGTAGAATGTCCATATCCCATATAAGCAAAGGTGGTGCAGTCTACTCCAGTAATCCCAACCCAATACTTAAAGCAATCAAGCACTCTACAAATTTACCAGTTTTGTTCCAATGAGATACAAACAAAACCAGGACAATAGGAGTGCTTCAAGGACTTGGTTGGTGACCGATTTTGTCCCAATTTTCTGATTCTACTAAAGATTTATTTTCCTCAATTTAAAATGATCACAAGGCAGCGCTATCTAGTCCTAGGTAGATCCCTGGAGAAACGCATTTGACAATCTATCTTGGACTCTATATGGACTTTAATTTTATTTGTTTTATATTATATTTGTCCTGTTTTTAATGCTGCACTCTGGCATTGTGAGACCTACTACACGGCTACCTGGCTCCACATTGTGTGGAGACATGCCCAGATTTTCTGCCTGCTTGTAAGTGAAATCTAAATAAATCCTTTTTTTTTTATTTTTATTTTTTTTAACTGTACTTCACCACGTATGGCTCTTTTTCCTCCATTTACCCAAGGTATTTATGAGGATTTCCAAAACTGAGATCTACCAGCTCTCTGATTCGTTTTAACCCCTGGTGGGGTGAAAAGCTGGTTTCATCTTATGTTTGTGAGTTTAATACTAAGCACTGCTCACTTTGTTTCTATTGTACTGTATTACGCTTTGTAATGTTTATCCTTATTATAGATCTTCACTGATCTCATTATCCTGGTCCACTTCCCCAGGTTATGTTTTAAATTTTTATACGTGTACTGGGTGTTTTTTTCCCCACTTCTCTTTGCTTTTAAAATAAAATGTTATGTCCATTACCCCATAGTGGTAGAGGTCAGGAAACCCAAAACCGGCAGCAGCACATCTTGGTTAATTTTGGGAAGGATATCCATCAGGGGTGTGTCCGATAGGTAAACAATAATCTTCTGCATGAGCGTGACTGCGGCTAGCAGACCTCCTTCCTTGCGACTGTTCAACCTGCAGGTGCTGCTGGGACCAACCTGCATACAAAATATAGAAAACATGAACCAAGTTTGAATACAACATACATATTAGCCAAACCTGTATATTGCTTAGCAAGTTTTTCTGACTTGCACTATTAGATACTTGTAAAATTGCATATCTGCACTTGCTGCAAATGCCTTGGATGTACACCTTCTGCAGTGTGTCCTGCCAAACCAGGAAGGAACTCAACCAATCAAGATGATCCCATAACATTCTACAGCAATGCTGTGCTTGTCCACAAAGTTGTGATATATGACCACAGAAGGAATTTTAGGATTGATTTTACTTTGTCAGCTTTCTACTAAAAAAAAGAACAGCTTAACTACCATTGCCAGAAATCTTAATAATGACATCTCACACATTTATCTTAATGTACCAAATAGGGAACCAAGGTTAATTCACTGTAACCCAACCTACAAATCAATGTATAAGTGTCAGAGTACTTCAATTCCAAAAGATGCAATTCATGCATAAATGGAAACGATTGAATTATACCTGGACATAAGATCTCATTGTACATAAGTCTGCTAGTAAACAAGTCATGTGTGTTTATATAGGAGATCACAGCAATCGCCAGATTAACAGTACCTGCAATGATCTGACAAAGGGATTTATGGAGGATTAAATAAAGTAAAAAGAAGGATTTCTCTGAAAGTAATAGATTTAAAGCATTCATGTCAAACTCAAAGGCTAACAAGGGCCAAATAAACAAGGCTTAAGTTTTCAGTTTTCATAGAAACTTGGGTTTATTTAGAAAAGTACAGTATAAAAAAAAAAAAAGTCGCCTCACTGACACTGGACGTCCTCACGCTCGTAGGGCTTCAAAGTAAGCAAAAGAGCACATTTATTTTAAGGCAACGTGCATTTGCATATAACTAATTTATCAGTCCAACTACCTTGACATATTAAGAAACGTTTGGTAATGGGACTGAAATGGCGAATGTATGCTGTTGTACAGCTCTAAAAAAAACAAAAACAAATGACGTTATCTTGTTGATTTTGAAGTCCTATGAGTGTGTTCTTCACTTTGGCTGAGATCATCAAACTTGATTCATTGTGGGTCACATGCAGCCCATGGGCCGCAAGCTTGACATGTTTGATTTAAACAGTGGACCACAAGAAAGTATGTTTTGGAATAGCTAGGGTGACTTTTTATTACTTTAGTCCAAATCAGTGATGACAGCTAGCAATCAATTGTAAATAAAACAAATCTTCAGAATGATGTGATTAAAGATGAAATGTTATGTCTGAAGTTTTGGAATACATAAATTAATAATTTAGTTTTTTATTTGCATTTGTATTTAGTGCAATACAGACACTGGTACAAGTTGGCATTCAACTGAAATTAACTCCGTCCCATAATTGTGCTGCAAAGATCACTTTAGAGTATAGTGGAGGTGTTTTTTTTTGTTTGTTTTTTTTTACCTTGTATAAATACAACTATAAAAAAAAAATCCACTTTAAATGTACAATGCAGTTTCCATAGAAAATGAGAGAAAAATAAATAGAAGAACAAACATAGAATATAAGAAACAAAAGGAAATATAGAAAATAAAATGTTATTAGAATGCAGGATTTCGCTACAAACCCCATCACAGGAATTCTGTATATCCTGTCTCCTGGCAAGATTTACACTCTAAGCAGATCTTTCCAGTGAAGGTTGGAAAAAAAACTTTTGATAGGCTAAAACATACTTCCTATCCTATCTCTGTCCAGCTCAACAACACCGAAAACATGTTTTTATAGGAAAACAAATAAATCCTCCTTAACCCCTTCAGGACCGGACTGTTTTGGAGATGATGTACATTAAGGACCAGGGCTGTTTTAACACTTTTGTGGTGTTTATGTTATGCTGTAAATTTTCCTCTCTCTCTCATTTACTGTTCCCATACAAATTATATATTGTTTTTTTTCAGGACAAAAAGGGGCTTTCTTTACATACCATTATTCTGTAATATAATTTAAAAAAAAAAAAAAAGGAGAATGAAATATGGTGAAAAAAAAAAAAAAAACACATGTTTTTTTACTTTTACTTCAAAAATCTTTTACTCATCTACAAAAGCGAATGAAAAAAACAGCTAAATTGATTAAAAATGTTGTCCTGAGTTTACAAACACCCAGTGTTTATGTACTTTTTTGCAAGTTATAGGGTTATAAGTACAAGTAGAACATTGCGGTTTCAAAATATAAATTTTTCAAATGTATCAATAGTGACATTGTAACACTGTTATCTTTCCTAAATCTCTGAATCACAGCCCACATGTACATATTTTTTTTGAAAGTAGTCAACCCAGGGTATTCATCTAAGGATATTTTGACACTTTCAATGCATCCATTTTACCACCAATCTTTGCCAAACTTCGCATAGGTATTTTTTTTTTTCACATACATTGCAATTCAGTTATAAATTCACAGATCCTGTTATGTATCACTGCCAAACAACAGCCCAATATGTGTTCAGCAATATCTCCTGAGTACAGTGATGCATTGGTTTGCTGGGTTGTTTGGGGGCGAAAAGGCCTCGATTGAGACTTGTGCATGTCAGTTTTTCAACCTGATATATAGGTATGCTTTGCCTATCTTCAGTTTGGTGTATTTTTGCATCCCCCAGTTAATGTTACCATCATGAAAGTATATATTTTTATACAGTAGACATGCCAGGGTATTGTGTATGGATCGTTTTAACATCCTTCCCCAAACCATTGTGCTAAAAAAAACAAATTCAGAGAACATGCATGGTGGTAGTTTTTGAATTCTGCTTTTTGAGTTTAGCCAGCTGGTTATATGTTACTGCCAGAAAACACCCCAGTTTGTTTTCTGCAAAGTCTCCTGAGTACACCAATGCCCCCCATGCATTGGTTTGCCACGATTTTACAGTAACAAATTTTGGACTTGCCCATTTTGGCTGAATATAGTTTGCTTGCTTTGCTAGGCACATGTTGATTGTGGTGCATTTTTACATCCCCAAAGTTGACTATATGGTTAAAAGTATATATTTTTATAAATTAGACATCCAAGGTTATAGAAGATGGAGTGTTTTGACTTCTTTCCCCAAACCATTTTGCCCAAAAAAGTCAGAGAAGGTGTGTGGTGGTAATTTTTAAATTCTGTTTTTTATGCACACGTCATCTGGTTTTGGCCAGCCGGTTATATATTTCTGCCAGAAAACCTTTTTAACAAAATGTGCAGGTATCAAATGCACCATTAGCAGCAATCTCTAAACTAACTCCTGCAAAAAGAATCTAACTAGAGATTTGGGGGAAGGAAACTAACTAAAATTTTCCACTTTCTAGAGAAAAATTCAGATACAAGTATTACAAAAAGGTATGTTCTGTGTGGTAGAGCTTAAAACATGTTCCAATACACAGTCAAGGTTTTAAAGGGCTTTGTTTTTTTTGCAGTTGGCGGTATCATAAAAATAAAATGTGAAGCACCAATTCTGGAATCCATCTCCCCCCCCTGCCCCTCTCACCATCACCCCCTCCTTCACACTATTATCCACTATACAAACACACACAGACACACACTTATACATGTGTGTCAGTGTGTGTATGTTTGTGTGTCTGTGTCAGTGTTTGCCTGTATTTCTATGTAACTGCATGTGTGTACATATGTGTCTGTGTATGTGTGCCAGTGTGTGTATATGTGAGTATATGTGCATACATCTCAGCATTTCACCTACACTACAAACAAATACAACCCTGCATCCAAATGACAACACTACATAAAAACACACCACCATATTCAAAATCCACACTACAGAAAAATGCACGCCTGCATTCAAATGCCAATAATAAGTGCAACACACCCGTACATTCACTCACACATAATCCATACAAAAACATTAAAACACACAAACACTGCTCGGTGTTAAATACGTGAAAAACAAATGTGGTTGTTTTTTTTAATTTTTAAGATGGGGAGGGGGAGGTGCCAAATATAGGATCCACCCCGGGTGCCAAATGCTCCAGGTAGGCCCCTGTCTGGAACACTTCTGGCAACAAACTATCACAAACTGTCTGCCTGGCAGATAGTAACAGCGGGATATTGCTCCCGCTGCTCGTTTTCCGTTATGATGGTTCAGGACCGTTGGCTGTCCTCAATGGTATTTTTCCGACCACAGCCCTGACCCGTCAGCGGCTCTTAAGGGGTTAATCTACAATCAGTAAAACTATGCAGTCACATGCTTTGTGTTACTCACCACTGCAAGCAATAGTATGCACATGAAGGGTGAATTTATACTCGGCAGTGCTGTATTTTCACTCGCAATTAAATAAATTATTATTGGGCCTCCCTTTAAAAATTATACTTATTGGAGACCGGGAAATATACACACATATTTATGTATATCCTCAACAAACCAAGAAATAGTTCACTTTGTGTTGTGGCATTATATTTAAATCAATTCAATAAGCTGCCTTTCTTTATAGGTACATAGCGTGCCCTTTCTTAGGAATCTGTTTAGTAACTTTCTACAGCCCCACAGCACACATTGAATGTTACATTCATCACTTTTGTTAAAAAAAAAACCCAAAAAAACCCATAAAACAGTGAAATCTAGATTGTGTTTAAAACGCAGTACTTACCAGGTAGCTGATATACGGGAGATACTGATATGTTAGGAATGGTTCTCCATAAAGATGAGCCATATACATTAAACAGTCCAGTACTGGCTTAGATAATTGATCACCACATATTGGTCTTTTAACATTTAATGGGCTATTCTCCTCCCCTGTAGGCAGAAAGTTTTGTCTTTGATGACCTGATAATAAAAAAACAAACAAAAAAAAACTAACATACACATTAAGGTTTACATCTTACATAAACAGCTTTTACGGTCTTCAGACCCCTGAACCACTCCAGCTTACTAAACTGCTTTATGCGTGAAGAGTAGTTTTACTTTTTTTATTTTATAAAATGTGAAGATTTCAATAGAAATTGGTACTGTTATAAATGGTTACAGCCCCCCAGGCTGTCCGGTTATTTAGCTCCACTAAGTAGCTTAGCAATTGCTAAGAGCACCTGCCTTACAAAGACTTCTCATTGAGCTGCTTTGGGAAGTCTGTGATTGGACAGACACACAAAGTCTGGGATAGGCAGCAAAGGCTGCAAAACAAGAGATCGGCAGCATTTGTAACCCGTTTTTAGGTAAACTCCCAATGAAAAAAATGCATGCATGTTTTCATTGTGGGGTAAATCTACTAAAAAGTGATTTATTATTTTCTTTTGTCTTTGGGTAGTGGAATGTCCGTTTCAGTTTTCTGTGCATGCATTAGACCTGCTCATACTGAGAATAAACACTGTATCTATCATTTTACCGTGCATTGTAATTATCACATCTACTCTCATATCCAGATAGGTAAAGAATTGGGAATCAACAAACCATTCCCCATGCAATTTGTTTTCGTAAGAGTTTATCCTGTGAGTTATTATTATTTATATAGCGAAAGCAAATTCCGTAGCGCTGTGCAATGAGAGTTAAATATTTCTAAAATAATTATTTATATTCTATAAATAATCCTTTAGCAATGTAATGTATGTTATGCATTGTATTGCTAAAATGAACATAAAGAGTTAAATAACATAAAAAAATAAAAAAAAAACAACATAAAATAAAAAGCAATAATTAATTACCAACATAGCAGGACGTGAGCAAGCGCAGCAGATTCCTGGCAATGGAACGAGAGGTTACTGTTGGACCCAGTTTGGCCGAGAGCCACCTTACCATGTTACAGGCCGTATCTGTAAAATAAAGAGGCAATCTGATGGTCACACACTATACAGGAAACACGCCTGACTGGCTCAACTGTGCACACTGCTTCATTGTAGAGGAAAAATAGGTCTCCAATGGATATTAACAAATAGGCAAACAAAAACATTTTCAGATCTTTTGCACTTCTTGGTCAAAACAAAATAAATGTGCTAACTTTTTTTTTTACATAACAGAGAAAATACAAAGAGGGGAAAAAGGAAGTGTTATGTGCAAAAGCAGTTAAACAAGGGAGATAGATAACCCACTTAAAATGGTTAAAACTCCCCTTTATTCCAGCACTGCAAATTTACCGTCTCAGCCAATCAAAATGCCACACAGGCCAATCTGCATCTGCTTATAGAGATGCATTCATTCAATGCAAAGTGTGGCGAAGCTGAACTGACCCAGAAAGCACCTCTACTGGCCGTCTTAGTGAAAAGGCAGTGTTGCATTAAAATGCCTGCAGGAACGGACTATATACACAAGAATAATTACATTAAGCTGTAGTTGTTCTGGTGACTAGAATGTCCCTTTAATACAAATGACAAGATATTTTAATTTGAAGGACCACTATAGGCACCCAGACCACATCAGCTCAATGAAGTGGTCTGGGTGCCAGGTCCCTCTAGTTTTAACCCCGCAGCTGAAAACATAGTTTTAGAGAAACTGCTATGTTTCACTGAGAGTAATCCAGCCTCTAGTGAATGTCTCACTGACAGCCACTAGAGGCGCTTCCGCGCTTCTGTGAAACTCACAGTGAGAAGACGCTGACGTCCATAGGAAAGCATTTAGTAATGCTTTCATATAGGCTGTTTGAATGTGCGCGCGACGCATGCCGTGCATTCGCATTCGGATCCGACGCCGGCAGGGGGTGGAGAGTTCACCAGCAAGGTAAGTGGCTGAAGGGAATTTAACCCATTCAGCCCAGCAGGAGGGTGGCCCTCAGGGTGGGGGGGGTGGGGACCTAATGACCCTATAGTGCTAGGAAAAAGAGTTTGTTTTCCTGGCACTATAGTGCTCCATTAAAAAAAACAAATAAATAATACCGGACACACATAATATAATCGGGTCTTTACCCTCCATCCAATTTTCAATCTTTTTGACCTTATGAAAAACATACAATGAAGTACTTAATAACCACAGTCAAGTAGCGTCGTATAGACAATTTAAATGGTATCTTGGGAAACACCATATTCATATAATGCAGTCACATTTGGCATTTCGTATTTATGTATAAAATGTGGTTATTTTTCAGTTTAACATCCTCAATAAGCAGATTCTTGCTGTGCAAATACTTAACAGTGAACTTCCTGAGGCAGTTTATAAGGTGTGGCATTTCTGTCCGTGAAAAGATAGAATAAAAGTACAAGATAACAGCGGTGTTAAAATTCTATAATCAACTCACTATTACAACTAGAACTCACTTACTTTTAAAAGTTACATTCCTGACCCCTAAACCACTTTAACCCCTTAAGGACCAAACTTCTGGAATAAAAGGGAATCATGACATGTCAGACATGTCATGTGTCCCTAAAGGGTTAACTTGCTTGAAACCTGTGTGTGTGAAGAGTGTGTCCTCTATTTTAAAAAAGTACAGATTTTAATAGAGATTGGCACTTTTATAAATGAACCTGGCTTTCAAGCACACAACCGGTCCGTTTACTGGTTTGGTTAGCTCAGTAGAACTAAACTCAAGAGGCAGCAATTGCTCACAGCACCTGCCTTGCAAATACTTCTGATTGAGCTGCATTGGGAAGCTTGTGATTGGACAGACACAGAAAGTCTGGGATAGGGTCAGAAGGGGAGGATTCACAAAGACTGCAGACTAAAAGAACAACGGGTTTTGCATGTTGTTTTTATATAATTTACACCCAATTAAACTAATGCAAGTTTAAATTTGGGTCATATTTACTTAACAGTGATTTTTATTTATTTTGTATTTGGGCAGTGGAGTGTCCATTTAAGTAACTGAATCTCTGCTCCTTAAATATTAAACACTCGAGCACCATAAACACTATAATGTGCAGACGCTATCCATTGTAAGTAGTCAAATCATGTTAGAACAGTTTTAATTCTTAAAGGGACACTTTAGTCACCAGAACAACTACAGCTTATTGAATTTGTTCTGGTGAGTAGAATCATTACCTTCAGGCTTTTTGCTGTAAACACTGTCTTTTCAGAGAAAATGCAGTGTTTACATTACAGCCTAGTGACAACTGCACTGGCCACTCCTCAGATGTCTGTTAGAGATCCTTCCTGGGTAATGGCTGCCTAAAATGCATCCAAACATTCAGTATCTCCTCCCTCTGCATGCAGACACTGAACTTTCCTCATAGAGATTCATTGATTCAATTAATCTCTATAAGGAGATGCTGATTGGCCAGGGCTGTGTTTGAATCATGCTGGCTCTTCCCCTGATCTGCCTCCATGTCAGTCTCAGCCAATCCTATGGGGAAGCATTGTGATTGGATCAGGCTACCACTTCTGCTGATGTCAGCAGGCAGGTCTAAAAGGAAACAGGCACAAAGCATGCAGCTGCAGACTTGCATACAAGTAAGATTTACTATATTTAGGGAGCCATGAACGGACCAGGGTGGCTAGATGGTGGTTTTAACACTATAGGGTCAGGAATACAGGTTTGTGTTCCTGACCCTATAGTGCTCCTTTAACACTGCTCTGCAGCATGGGTGTGACTTGCTGTGCTACAGAACGGATGCATGTCATAGGTGCTCAGAGTCCACATAGCGCGAAAATCAGCCAGTATTATTGTATCAAGATAGCAATTTTTTTCTGGGATGTTTTAATTTGTATTAAGATGTATACCCCTGCATAACTTATCTGCCATGTTGCCTGCGAAATCAGCGTGGTCTCAAAGGCTGTCAAACAAAACCGGTATCGGGCAGATCAAAAGGGTGTCTATCACTTCACCAACATTGGATACGACGTCAGACGCGGAGGTTACACATCACAGCAGAGAGGACTCCCCGATTATGGAGAGATGAATACAGGCATTACAACAAAACCCCTGGCTGCAATACTACCAGATTTCCACTGAATTACAGCGGAGATAGAGAAATTAAAGAAATTGGTGAGAGGACCGAAAATCTTGAAAAGACGTTCAAGAAAACTTGCCGGTGTTGGCAAAGACACCTTCCAAGCTATCTCCAGATTGGAGGAAAGCTTTTCATCTTAAGCATCTCAGAATCTGGAATTTTTTTGAAACTATAGAGTTTTGCTCTCAACTAAAAACACACTATTTTGAACCTCAGGTTGTTGTTGCATTGGTGATGGAGAACCGCGTGGGCAGCAGTGTGTGTGGACAGTGAGGGCAGCAGTGTGTGTGCACAATCCAGGATTTATGTATTTACCTGTTTTATTCCAACAGAGATACTGACAAAATCTGGACTGTTGGTGGTTCTTGGGGACTGGCTTGGGAAACACCACCCTGGACTGATTGTACTGCTCAATTTAATGAATAAGCCCTGACCTGGCAGCTTTCTCAAGGGCTCATGTAAGTTCCCCCAAATCATGGTTTATGGTCAAACAACTAATGGCCATCCAAAGCCTAGAATTCTGAATGTGCACTATTTCAGAAGATGCTATGACATCTCTAAGTATAATAAGTAGTCAAAGTTAAATGACATAAAATCACATATTTCATTGCCATCACAAAATAAAATGAATCAGCAAGTATTTGAAAACAAAAAATAAATAAAAATTACACAAATGTATAAAAACTATACTTTACCGATCAGTATCTTCTTCTCCTTTTCCTCTGTATGGTTATTTATATCGGGCTCTTCTTCATCCAGGTCTCTGTTGTCACTGGCCTGGATAGTATCCACAGAGGCTTCAGTATTGACAGACAATGTTAAGTCGGAAAGACCTGGAGAAGGTTCTCGGTCCTCCTCCTCTTCAGATTCTTCACTCTGCTTTAAATCTTGGCTACTACTATCTCCTGACTTCAAGCTTCCTTTCTCACGAAGGGAATCAATGTCTGCAACTTTTTCATCTCCTAAAGAAACTTCACTTGCACTGCTTTTGTCACTCAATCTCCCCAAACTGAGAGACTCTTGCTCTTGAGACTGAAGAGGTTCACTCACATACAGCTCATTCTGGAAATCCTCATTCTCAGTCAGGTAAACCTGATCATGAAAGCTGACTCCAGACGTGTAGTCCAGAAGTTCATGAGATGATGTACTGTGATCTACATTGTTCTGCCTTCCATCAAAGTCACACGTGACTGGGCTGTCACCACCACTTTCCTCATCCTCTGCACCTCCTGAAAGAAGTTTTCCTTCCTCTCCAGAACTCTCAACTCCAACAAGTATCTGCAGAACATGGGTCAGTAAATTAGAAATGAATGCTTGCAAACCCAAACGTACTATTAGCTGTGCTACAAAGCAGTCTGTATAAAGATAAAATCTTCCATAAAGGTAAACAGGGTTTTCATAAGAAGCGATAAGTGGCTTTAGAAGATACTTGCTTGAATTTTTAGGTCCCAAAGCTTTGGCTATAGGTTCAAAAAGATACCAGGCAGCATACACAGCAGTGCTTTCTTCAGTCATTAGAGACAAGACAAATGGGAGAAGTATTTCTAATCCTTCAGGAGTGATATCACAAAGAATACCATCTATTTGCTGCCACAGTTGAAAAACAAGCTCCCGGCCTTGGCTCTCATCTTCAACGCTTCTTGACAGGTAAGTTAATATAAATCTGTGCAGGTTTGGGAAATAGGTTGGGAAAGGGATAACAGAGCAAAAAGGGCTGACGAGCTGTGAAGGACATGGTGGAGGGAGACCATTAGAGATGTGTGGAAAATCATAAAGGTGAACACAGGAATCTATATGAACACGTTTTAGCAGAACATCCTCTGGTACATGCAGCTGCAACAATATCTCTAGCAACTGCAAGAGAGGTGTTGGAATTTCTTTTTGATGGTGTCTACTGAGATTCCGTACTAGAAGATAGCGGTCCAATAAGGAAGCTTTGGGAGTTCTTGTGTGGATCTTTGACGCAAATATTATCTCTGCAATCATGATACCCAATGCCTGCATATCTCTCTTAAAGAAATCAAACATAGTTAGAGGAAGAGTGTTTTGAGATTTGGTCACTGGGAGGATGACACCATGTAAGCCTCGAACCAAGAAGTTATCCAGTCTTTCTAGCTCTTCCAGTGCCTGTATAGGATTAAAACCCTCAGGTAATACAATTTTTCCATCACTATCACTCATTACAGTTCTGCTTTGTTTAATTGTCCTATTTGCCTGCAGCCTGTTGTCAACTGGCAGCATACTCACACTAGTACTTTGAAAAGAGGGTATGGAGGCCAGATCAATGCTTTTTGCTGATCCCCCAATAGAATCTAGTGCTTCGGTTCCTTGTTCTAAATCCTCATCACCAGTGGATACTTTATCAGCAGTCCACACGGTCTCGCACAGAGTAGCCTCTAGCACAAGCCCATTGACTATGTGTTTATCTTCATATACATTCATTTCACTAATGTTTACACTGGGTAATATTGTAGGAGGCTCCAACAAAGAGTATCCAGAACCGAGTAAACGTTTTGGATGTGGTTGGTCAAAGAGCTGAACAACTCCATAGCAAGTCAGATTAGTATGATTATCCACCAGATGAAGACAAACGTTCTTTTCTTTGACTGCATTTTTACCAGTTAATTTATACCCAAATGTCAGATCTATCCAGTGGTGAAGATCCTGAGAGACTTCCCTACTCTCCAGAAGTGCACGATGAACATTTATGAAGTCCTCATACGAGTTGCACCAGGATGGGATGTCAAGGTCTGGCATGTCAGGATGAATGGATTTAAAGATGGTAGGATCTGTATAAAACTCGGGAATGCATTCATCGGGGGTCCAGCTCTGCATTCTTTCCATGCTTCCTGGGTACTCATTTGGTTCCCATTGCGATCGTACATGATTGCACAGTACAGCCTTTGCCGTCCTCCTAGCTTTGTATACATAGTAAGTGATGTCAGACAAGATATCGGAGATGTGATGAGGAACATGAAGCTGCTCTGTGCTGCTTCCTCCAGCTACAAATGCCTGCTTTGTCATTTCGTAGGTGAACTCTAGCTGCTTATCACCTTTGTTTAGACGGAATTTTGACTTCCTTAGGTCCCTGAATCTACCATTCTTGGTAGTGAAATCTATAACCCAAGGTAACACAGGATGGTAATTTGGATCACCTTCTCTTCTGCCAGCCAGTTTATTCAGATACATAAGATAATCAAAATTGCTAACTTTTCCATTAATCCAGTCCATCACCAATTCCCTGAGCTCATTGTTGCATGAAGAACAGAGACCTACTGTGCACACATTCTCTGGGTCTGGTGATAAGGCCTCCCCATTGCTAGATATGGAATCTAATCTTTCGTAATCCTTGAAGTTAGGCCTCAGCTGACTGCATAGTTTCTCATCAACGGCCACACTGCATAAAGAGATTGCACCACAGGATAGCCCCTCTTTGTGACAGACTTTCAGTGCCTGCAATATATTGTAAATTATAAAGAGAACTTTGGCATGGCTGTTAGCAAGTTTTGCAGGACTAAAAGTGACAATGTCATACAAAGAATATTGTATATACGGAGAGATGATATACAACATATCTGAAGACTCAAGGAGAGCTTCCGCTGGGACAATATTGGGACAACACACCCGTCCCATAAATGTGGAATTCTCTGTAGAAGGAGATAAAGTTGTTGAACCCTTGTTTGTTGCAATAAAGGAACAGCCATAAAGCTTCTGTAGAGATGTTTTGAGTGCATCCAAGGCTGTTATACTTGGCACTTTGCTGACAGTCTCATATGGCTCTACATATGTCGATCTTGCCTTATACCACAAGTTTGTATAGTTTTGGAATGAGATATTATGCATGAACTTAATCAATGATTCGCAGTCCCCATCCTGTCCCTGTACAATGCCACTGTTTAAAGTGACAGGATAAGCCAGCTTATCTTTCCTTAGACAGTGGATCTCAACTCTGGTCCAGCCAGCTGGTAATTTGTGTACAGATCTTTGCAAAAAAGTCTGTATTTCAAAATGACTTAACCCTTCCGGTCTTGCACACAGCACTGGGACTGTTCTCCGCTCTTTCAGAGTTATAAGCCATTTCTGAGATATAAATGCTACACAATAGTCGCCATCTTCAACAGCTAAAAGCTGTTTTGGGTCAATGTTTAAGTCTTTTGTAATCGCAGACACCCACTCCATATTTGAACAGTGGCTAACAATCGTCTGTCTTATGGTCTTCCATTATATTATTCATACTGTAGGGAGGAAAAAAAAAATAGCTGAATTAATATAGAACTGTGACTAAGAAATTATTTGCACTTTCACAAGCAAACAGTGTTAAAATGATAAATTTGTACTTTACTTTTGTCTTAAATAGCATGGGACTGACAGTGTTACAGTGCATTCTGAAAAACCAAACATTTCATACATTGGCAAATATTGTGTTTGTATAGACAATCAACAAAATACTAATCTAGTTATAATGGACATGTCAAGTCGCCAGGTTTCCATCGTATTAACCCTTTAAGGACGGTACAAGTTCTGATCAAAACAAAACCTGGAATTTGAGCTGTAGGTCTGTAAAACCATAATTTACCTTCAATATTAACTGCGCCCACACTTACTATATATCATTTTGTTCAGGAGAAATAGGGTTTTAATGCTACATCAAATATGTATATGTAAACATAAATTAAAATGAATTAAATCTTTAAAAGAAAAATTAAAAAAAAAATTGAGAAATTAGGAAATCGTGTTATTTTGAAGTTCTGCAGGGCATTTTAATTGTTACATTTTAAATGTTATAATATTTGTAGCTTTTACTTCAATGCAATGTACATATTTTTGTTCAGTGGTATCTCACAAGTACAACAGTAACCCACATATTACAAGTTTTATGAGGTTTTCAAGAGTTACAGAGTCAAATATAAGGCTTTCCCCTTTTCAGATTATACACATTGAAATATGCCTGATTGATTTGAATGGGCCTATGTTGTCTTTGAGACCGTATGGCAGCCCAGAAATGAGAATTACCCCCATTATGGCATACCATTCGCCATGAAAACCCATGATTTTCAATATGGGTTACGTTCAGTCTTTTTTAGTAGGCACTTTGTCGCAAACCCAAAGTTAGTGTTCATTTTGGTTTTTTGAATTTTGCACCCAAAAACTACCCTTTCACCAGTATCATCCTCATTATATGTTTTACTGTTCTAAAATACTCATATTTGTTGGGTTTTGGAATGTTACAGGATATACAAGGTGATTTTATCAAATATTATAAGAATGCACATACATATATATATATATATATATATATATATATATATATATATATATATATATAAAAAATTCACACCACACTTTTCACTTTCCTCTAGGTGAAAATTGTATAAGTAGTACATTACTTTCAAATGTAACAGAGATAACTAAACTGACACTATTGGCACCAAAACTACTTCTGCATATTAAAGCAGTTTTGTGTGCAGATTATGCCCTGTAGTCTTACTACTCAATTCAATGTCATTTAGCACTTAAAAGAACACTACAGTGTTAACCATACAAACTTCTATTCCTGACACTATAGTGTTAAAAATGCAGATTAGGCCCTGGTTACCATTGGCACTCTTTAAAAATGCATTAAACAACTTTTTTCCAGCACTGCACAAATCCGTTTAGGCTGGCTCCACCTTCTAGGCGGAGATCAACAAATTTAATATTCTCAGCCAATCCAATACAAAACACCACGCTGCAGCAATCAGCATCCCCTCATAGAGATGCACTGAATCGATGTATCTCTATGAGGAACGTTGAGCGCCTCCAAGAAGCATCTCTAGTGACCATCTGAGTGACTGCCACTATTGGTATCCCTAGGCAATAATGTAAACACTGCTTTTTCCTCTTCAAAGGCAGTATTTGTATTAAAAAGCCTGCAAGGACATACCAGAACAACTGCATTAAGATTTAAACTATAGTGTCCCTTTAAATCACATTTTTATACAGCTTTAGCCACACCTCCCTGCATGTGACTTGCACAGCACTACTAAAACACTTCCTGTAAATAATTTTTGCACATTCTGTTTAATTTAGAATGCCTTATCTCCTGCTCTGTTAATTGCCTTCTGTATCCTACAGGAGCCTCCTGTGTGTTTTTACAGAGCAGGAGATAAAAAAGAAAAACGTGGAAAGAACTTCTAAAGCAAGTTACCATCAGATTGAAAATGAAACCATTTTTTCATGCAGGCTGTGTGAGTCACAGTCAGACCAGGTGTCGCTAGGCTAGGGGTGCATAAACAGAAAAAAAATTTGATTAAATCCTAAATGGCACCAAATAGAGCTGTGAAACTGCAGGAGCATGATCTATACACCAACACTGCTTTATTAAGCTAAAGTTGTTTTGGTGCCTAGCTTCTTCCTTTGTGTTTAAGTACGTTATATTTTCTCAGCTTAAAGTAGATAAAATATGCATGGCAATGTACCTTTAAAAATTATTTAACCTTAAATGCAGAAATCCTTCATCTCAGCATTTCCAATAATCATGATATTCTGCAGAGACACTGTCGTTATACATAGTACAGTACTTTATTAAGTGGACTTAATGCTGCAAAACACTTATAGAAATGAGGCTATTCTCTCTTCCTCTATCTGAAACTTCATAAAAGAACCCAGTGCACTGCTAATCATGTGCTGCATGTAATATATTGATTATTTCAGTCTCACTGGCACTTCACTGCAATGATGCATGCAGTATTCAACTTTTATGGAAAAGGCTAGAGAGATAACTGACCCAGCTCGCCTTGACTCACCTCTCCATCAGGGAACACTGCTTCGGCACTTGAGATGAGCAAGGGGCTGCTGTGATCATAGGGGACTGGATTCAGCCATGTTAGATCAGCTGATACAGGTCATGTGACGGTGGCAGCAGAGTCTCCCAATACTGCCAGCACTCACATGGCAGGGGGTGAACTGGCAGCAAACACAGTCAATGGAGCAGTATGCAGGCAAAAGGCGGAGCAGCCATGGGAGGGATGGCAATAGCTGAGCTACTTCCTATTTGGCAGCAGATCTGTCACATTGTCAGATCATGTGACTGCAGGAGGGGGGTCACATGATAAAGACAGCTATAATGGGGAAACAAATATATAGAAAATGCTTCTCCTGACTTATTGCCCCCTGTAACCATCAAGAGAGGAACACAAAGGGTTAACACAGCAAGCAAAGGCCATTTAGTTTAATTATTTATTAGTTGCAACTCTGCAGTAGTACTGCTGGATGTGGATTAAGTGGGAAGGAAAGCTCAACATACAAAATATGCATGACTGGACGAAAATGAAACTTAAAGGGGAACTGGGATTTCTCTGGAATTGTACAGCACTGATTAAAAATGTTAAAAAGCTTCTGTAACTTGTGGTAACCATTGTGAGATGCTTTGTTTTCCTTTAAATGTATACTGAAGACCGTGAGAGTTTTAAAATTGTCTAACACAGCTAAATAGTTTTCGAATTTTTTTTGTTTGTTTGTTTTGTTTTGTTTAAGGAATCAAAAATCTCTCAAACTCCAAATGCACCTTATTTTTCCTAGTAAGTGTAATTATAGTAATATAAATCAGTTGTTTGATTCTGGAAATGTAATCAACATCTTCAGGAGGAAAAAAAAGGAGAGAAAAAAAATTCCAAAATAAATAAAAATGTCAGAAAGACAGTTTTGACGCATTACAGAAAAGGAGGGGGAAAGTCCCCAATGTATAAAGGGTGGAATAACCGTTTTGTATATAATTATATGTTGCATGCAGACAAAACTGACTCAAATGTGAAAATGTTTATATATGACTCTCACTGTTTCATTTCTCCTCTTGTCTGTTTGCTTCTAGTACAAAGGACAGAGCTTATAACAATGATTGACAAGGTGCTAAGATGGAGGCGTGTGATTGCAGGATAAATAAATGTGTATTTCAAATTTTATTTTTAACACCTCACAAATTCATTTTTATTAATATAGTGATAAACTTAATATAACAAATCCCCTTTAAATAAAATTATTTTACTTTAATGTGCAAGTATTCACAACACTGTACTGGATGGTGTGTATTCTGAGTGTACTTATGTGATCAGTATTTTTCATATGAAAGGACATTGTTGGACCATAACCGTTTTAATGGCTTGAAGTGGTTATAGTTGCTGGAGTCTATGGGTGCTGGGTCCCACTACACTAATCAACAGCTTAGAGTAGGGCAGTGACATTGGCTCCTGGAGCTGAAGAGCATCTGCCGGCTCCTGCAAGGGACAGTTTCAGGTAAGTAAATCTCACCTCTCCCTGCCTCCACTATCCCCTCCAGCCACCGAAACCCAAGGGGGAAGTCTTTGACATTGTCACGTTAAGATCAATATTGCCGAACTGATTAAATTTTCTAAGCCAGCTATGCTATCAGTTCAGCTATTCTGGCCTTAAATTTGGAATTCACTTTGAAATTTTAAAGTTCACCTGTTAAACTTGCCTTAATTCAGTGCCAGGCGAAGCTCCCAGTGATGATCTTACATGCGTCACTGTGATGCTGTGGTGGAATCTCTGTAAAAATAAATTTAGTAGGCCGAGATTACCACGTGGCATGTGTACGTGCATATGCTGACGTATCGATCAGTTGGTTGCACGAGGCAAGATACGATCAGTAGTGTACGGAGCATGTGCAAGAATACAGGATGTAGTATTCCCCTCCTCCATTGTGCTGGACAAGCCATGCGGTCAAGCAGGAAGTTAATTCTTATTTGTAATGATTGGTCAAGAGAATGTGCGGGTGGAGCTTAATATGGGAGGAGTTATGTGCCTATATAGGGAGCCTGCACTATTGTTCAGGGCTCAGAACTTGCTGTATTTTTGGTGACATTAGTCCCTCTGAGTCCCGATCGGTGATCCAATAAAGAATCTCTTCCTTCCTGAAGAAACCTGTGTCCATCCCTCTGTGCTTTGCTTCCGTCAGTTTCTCCGGTATCATTTGGTGCATTGGCCGGGAAGCTCATCGTTCAACGGTAGCTGAGAGGCAGAGGCGTGAGACGGTCTATCTTTGCCCACGTTCTCTACGGCTGCACCCCTGAACTTCTGCGTGGACCTCCCTTCGTCTCGGCGCCACTGGTCTGTTGTCCAGGAGATCATCGGCCTCTACGTAAGAAGTGCTGGGGTGTCCCCGTCGATGAGTGTGAACTCAG